TTCTCTTCCTCTTCTCCTTCTGGCGTCCCTATGACTCACATGTTGGTACATTTAGACGTCCCAGAGGCTCCTTATACTATTCTTATTTTTTCTTGAATTCTTCTTTCTTCTTGCTGTTCTGATTGAATGCTTTTTTTCCCCCTTATGGTTCAATTTGTTGATTTGAATCTCAGCTTCATCCTTGCCACTACTGGTTCCCTATAGATTTTTCTTTATTTCACTTAATGTAACGTTCCTCTCTGCCTAGGTCATTTTTTTATGCTGTTGCTGTACTCAGTGAGTTCTCTGAGCATCCTGCTAACCAGTGTTTTGGACTCTGCATCTGATAGGTTGGTTATCTTCATTTCATTTAGTTCCTTTTCTGAGACTTTGTTATGTTTTTTCATTTGGGGCATATTTCTTTGTCTCCTCAATTTGTCAGTCTCCCTGTTTGTTTCTGTGTATTAGCTAGAGTTGCTTTGACTCTCTGTCTTAGTAGTGTGGCCTATTGTAGAAAAGTTACCTATAAATTGTGTGGCAGAGCCTTAGGTAATTGCCAGGGTGGGACAACTCACTTCACCACTTTGTGGCTCTGTGTGGGGTGGGCTCAGAGAGGGGACAATGCCACTACCTGGCTTCTGGAGGTTTTCCTGGCACTCGCTCTATTTCCAGTCACTTCACTTTCTTCTTGTATGTAACTGGTGCCATCCCAGCTGTTACCCTAGTAGGATGGGTCTGCATAAATTCTAAGTCTGTTCAGGTCCTTTAACAGGAGTCTCCAGAAAACCTGGCAGTTCCTACTGCCATCCCAACTCTCACTGTTTTCTATAGCCAGAAGTTATGGGGATTTATCTTCTTGGCACTGGAACCCTGAGCTGTGTGGTATGGCCTGGGTCTGGGAATCCCTCGCTCTTAAAGTATCCCTCCTGATTCTTATCTACCACCTGTGAATGTGGGACCACCCATTCACTCCCTCTCTGTGCCACATGATATCTCCACTCTTCCTACCTATCTGTGTGAATGTGGCTTCTTTAAATCATTGGTTGTTGGTCTTCCGTACAGCTTGATTTTCTGACAGTTTGGGGTGTTGTTTTGAGGTGGAGTTGTAATTTTTTCTGTAGTTGTGCAAGGAGTTGAAGTGTGTTTACCTATGCCTCTATCTTGACTGGAAGTCCTAGTCTTTTCATTTTCTAATAAGGTCTTTTGAAAAGAAGTACTTAATTTTGACCAAGTTCAATTTATCACTTTTTTCCTTTTAAGGATAGTTTTTTAGGTATTAAACCTAAGAAATCTTTACCTAGTCTATGGTCACAAATATTTTTCTTGTTTTTTTTTCCCCCAGAAGTTCGAAGTTTTGTATTTATATCTAGGATCCATTTTGTATTTTCCCATGCAGTATGAAATTTTGTTTATTTTTGTCTAGGATATCCTAACGTTCCAGTATTGTTAGTTGAAAAATCTTTCTTCCACTTAATTGTGTTTGTCCTTTGTTAAAGATCAGTTTATGATATACAGGAATTTTTGGAACTCTCTATTCAGTTACATTTGTCTGTTTCTTTCCTTTATATCAATTCTACACTACCTGAATTAATGTAACTTTATAATAAATATTAATTTCAGGCAGTTTAGTATAAGTTCTCCAGACTTGTTTTTCTTTTAAAAAATTGTTTTGGTTATTCTAGGACCTTTGCATTTCCATATAAATTTTATTTTTATTTTTAAAATTTTCATTATTTATTTTTAGAGACAGTGGAAGAAAGGATAGAGATAGAGGGAGGGAAACATTGATCAGTTGTTTGCTTTTTGCATGTGCCTAACTGGGGATCTAGACTGCAATCCACATATATGCCCTGACCAGGAATCCAACTGGTAACTTTTCAGTTTGCAGAATGATTGATGCCCAACCCACTGAGCCATACCAGTCAGGGCCATTTCAATGCAAACTTTGTAATTCCTTTGTAAATTACTAAAGAAAACCTACTTAAATTTTACTGGAATGCTATTGAATCTATTGATTGGTGTGGAGAACTGACATTTTACAATATTGAGTCTTCTGACCCATGACATGGCCTGTCAGTTTGTGTCTTAAATTTGCCAGCATATTTTAAGTTTTCTGTGTAGAACTTGTATATCTTTTATCAAACTTAGTTTTAAGTATTTCATATTTTTGTTGCTATTTTCAAATTAAAATTCAAATTGTGTATTGTTAGTATAACAGAAATAAAATCAACCATTGTATTGTATGTTGACTTTTATATCCTGTTGTCTTGCTGATCTCATTTATTAGTTCCAGTAGCCTTTTCTAGATTATATGGGATTTTTACCATAGATCATGTCATCTGCAAATTAAGCCAGTCTTACTTCTTCTTTCATATTTGGATGACTTTTAGTTCTTTTTCTTGCCTTAGTGTATAGGCTAGAACCCCTATTACAATGTTGCAGAAGTGGTTAGTGCAGATATCCTTACCTTGTTTCTGATCCTACGGCCAAACATTCATTTCTTTACCATTACATACGTTGTTTATTATAGATGCTTTTTAAATCGAGTTAAGTTTTTCTGTATCACTAGGATATTAGATTTGGTCCAATGCTTTTGCCACATCTATGGAAACAATCACACAATTTTACTTTCTTAGTCCTGGTTAATATGGTGAATTATACTGTTTGACTTTCCAATGTTAATTCAAACTAGCATTCCTGAGATAAGCCCCTATTTGGTCATGATGTATTACCTTTTTTATATATTGTGAAATGAAAATAGCTAGAATTTTGTTAAGGACTTTTGCATCTATATTTTTAAGGAAATTGGTCTGTAGTTTTCTTTTCTTGAAACATCTTGGGTTTGGATATCAGAGTAATGGTGGCCTTATAGAATGAACTGGAAAGTATTTTCTCTTTTTCTATTTTCTGGAGGACTTTTATAGAACTGGAATTATCTTTTCTTTGAAAAATATACCATGTTAACACTATAAAAAAGAAAGGTAGAGTGGCTTCATTACCACCAGATAAAATACACTTTAGAGCAAAGACTATTACTAGGTAAAGGTGGGTCATTTATAAAGTGGATCATTTCACAATGATAAAATAATTTTCATAAATCAATTTTGTCAAGGATAAATTCATCTAAATAACAGAACAATTCTAAAAGTTTGTGCAACTAACTTTTAGAGCTTCGATATAAATGAAGCAAAAACTGATAAGGAGAGCAAGGATAATCCATAATTACAGTCAGATATTTTAATATTTTTCTGTTAATAATTTATAGAATAAGTAGACAGAAAATTAGTATGTTCTAAATTCCCTAGAATTTCAAAGATTTGAACAATAGTATCTTCCAACTTGATGTGTTTGACATCTGTAGAACAATTCACCCAGCAACTCCAGAATATGCATTCATTTTAAATGCACACTGAACATTTACCAAGACAGACCATATTCTGAGCTACAGAACAAGTCTCAATAAATTTAGAATGATTCAATTATACAAAGTATGTTATCTGATCATAATGGAATTAGAAATCAATAACAAAAAGATATCTAGAAAATACCTCAATATTTGGAGACTACATAACACAGAAGTAACCTACGGGGCAAAGAAAAATCTTTAGGGAGATTAGAGTGTATTTTGAAATGAAGGAAAACAGAAACACAATATATGGGATCGGGCACAAATAATGGCCCCCTTTTAATTACAAACTAATTTATTACAAAATCATAATCATGTAATTCTGTAATATAACAATATCACACTCAAGCACACCATATGCTATTTTAGGTAAAATGTTCAAATTAGAATAAATCATTACACCTATATCATTACTACCAACCACACTCAAGCAGGAGTTACTTCGGCTGTACCTTGTATCAGAATGTATGGGATGCAGCTAAAGCAGTACTTTGAGGAACACATTCCACCAAATGTGGAATGTTTTGTAGCTTATACTACAAAATGAGAAACATCTCTAGTAAATGACTTCAGTTTTCAAGTGAAGAACCTATAAAATTAGTATTATAGAATTGTACCCCTGGAACCTATACAATTTTATTAACCAGTGTCACCCCCATAAATTCAATAAAAAGGAAAATATAGTTTTAAAACTTTAAACAAATTTAAAGGCAGAAGTAAGGAAGTAAACATAACAGCACAAATAAATAAATAGAAAACAAAAACAATAGAGAAACATCTATGAAAACAAAAGCTGGCTTTGAGATTTGAGATCGGTAAAGTTAATAAGCCTCTCCCCAGATTGACCAGGAAAAAAGAAAGATGACATAAAGTACCAATTTCAGGAATGAGCAGAGGGGAGATTTATAGATATGAAAGGACAATAAAGAATATTGTGAACAGAATTACACCAATAAATTCAATATCATATCTTCATAACTATTAAACCTCATTCAAGGAGAAATATTAAACATTTGTTGAATTAAGGATGTCAGCTATTATTACTGGCAAGGTGCTGAGTTCCGGCTTAAGCAATAAGTAAATGATTTCACACTCAAGTGCCTTGCAGCTCACTGGTAGGGGCAGGGGTGTAGGGAACAATTAAAGCCTAATACAACTCTGGATGATGTGGCTCAGTGGATTGAGCGCCATCATGTGAACCAAAGGGTCGCTGGTTCAACTCCCAGCCAGGGCACATGCCTGGGTTGCAAGTCAGGTCCCCCGCAGGGGACACGAGAGACAACCACACATTAATGTTTCTCTCCCTTTCTCTGTCCCTTCCCCTTTCTCTAAAAATAAAATAATTTAAAGTAAAAAAGCTTAATGGAGATTGATATAGAAGAGTGAGAGAAAAACTGGATTTGGGAAAACTAGGAGTCACCCGCCTGACACACCAAAAACCAGTACATTAGTACAGCAAGAACCACTAACGACCTCCTCTCCTCTAAAGCATCCAAGACTACAGCAAGCGTGCGCCTGCGCATCTGGCGAAGAGTTCCCAGGAGGCTGGAGGCTGGCGGCAGGAGCCAGGAGGGGGGATGTTTCCGGAAGTGTAACTGCTCTCCCAACTAATCCCATCCGGGGTCACATCGGTCTTCCGGGTGTTTCTGACAGTGCTTTCTATGCTACTTTTTGGTCTTCCGCCTCTTGCCACCGCTTTCAATCTCCTACACCTTGTTGGCTTTGCCTCTTCTTGTGTCTCTCCTCCCCGGCCGCGGAGTTCGGAGTTTAGAAACTAATCCGGTTCCGGAACCGGGCCTAGCCATTCCGCGGACCACTACCTCTGGCTCAGGCGAAAGCTGCGATCTAGTGCGCGGGTCTGTCGTCGCTCCGGCCTTGGAGCTCCTGGGCGGGCAGTGCCGGTAGGCCCTGCCCCAAGGACACCTGTGAGTCAGGGGGTTTCGGCGCGGGACGCAACTCTGTAGGCCCAGGTGGAGGGTGGGGCGCGGGGAACTTTTTTGAAACTACTGTTTTGTTTCGCGTGGGAGGTTTCCGGCAATATCTCTTCCCAGATTTGTGGGCGGCTCCTAAGCTGCTCTACTTTTTGAAGACTGTTAGGACCGTTTACGTTTTTCACTCATTTCTTTTCCTCCTGCCCCGTCCTCGGTCTGGGACCAAAAGAGGAAGATTGTCATGGGTTCCTGCGTGATGTTTCGAAGGACGGTTTAAATGGGCATGACTTTGCGTCTTGCCTCAATTCTTCACAGATTAGGACAGATTATTGCATACTCTGCCCCCATCCTCCACCCGGTTCAGTCTTTGTAGATGGGCTCTTCTCTTCTTTCTAGTCCATAATAAGGGGGATTTTTGTGTTTCACAATTTCCGTATTATCCAAGTGTCCTATTTTGTTGTAGATCTCTTAGCTTTTTGTTTAAAATAGCAGTTTATTTAGTTTGGGTATACCAATTGGGTGAACAAAAAAGAAACAGAGAAACTGTAAAACTCAGGCTAACTTGGCAACTCGTTAATAGATGTTTAGTAAAAGAGATCCTAACTGAACACTAAGTTTGTATGTTTGTACTACAGGTAACATACTATTTTTTTTTTGGTAAACGCTGACATATTGTATAGTTTATTATCACAAGGGATTAACGTACTGCTTAACAGCCAAAAAGGCTCTTATTATATATTGATAGCCAGTAATAGTAACATTGTTGGTGTGATATCTCCAATTAAGTCTGATGTGGAAATATGTGTAACAGACTTCATGTGAAACAGGTCATTTAAGAAATGTCCATTTCAAACCACGCGACTAGATTATTTTTTCAACACTTGGATGGAATCTAATTCTTAATAAAAAGGAGTGTCCTTTTCAAAATCTGCAGGTGGTTTTGACAGGGAGTGAGCAGGATTTACGAATTGGACTATTTGCACTGTGGAAAAAAGAAGTGAGTTTCGGGGATGGATCTCAGGCATTTGGATAAAGTGAAGCAATAACTTGATTTAAACACTACAATTTTGAGTTTTATATTAGGTAGATTGTGCTTTTCAGGGAATTCTGATGAAGGAATTATGTAACCTTGGGTGTTCTCTAATTCCTTGGATGAGAGGTCAAGTTTGGGACAAATTCCAGGTCGTAAGCTCCACGATTAAATACTATAGCACAAGGAATTTGTAAACAATCTGTTAAGAGTTTGTCTCATGTATGATTATTTACAAATAAACCTGTATAGTTTTCCATTGGGTCAATCTTAATCAGAACCAGTGGTTAAGATTCCTTAAAGCCAGAACCAAAGCAGTGATTTTGAAACGGGTCAAAGGTTATCTACATTAGTCTATTTTATAGTTAAGTACAGATTGAGATATATATAATTTTCAAGCTAAGAAAAATAGGATGCCACCAATATCTGGATTTTATTTGTTTTGTATAAAATTTCTTGTAATTGCTACCATAGTTAATGTGAAGTAGTGTATTATACATATATAAAATACTTAGTAAAGCCTTTTATTCAGAGTATGAAGAAGACAATTTGAAATGCTGTGGAGGTCCCCTTAATTCTGATGTCATAATAGTTTTGCCAAAACTGTATTGTTTTTTAAAAAATGATCCCTTATTAATGTTTATGATAGATTGTTATTTTGGTGACATTTTTGTCATAAAACTCAGAGTTGAAATGTATTCAGAAAAAAGCTAGGAAGAGGAATTGAAATTCATGGGCTTTTGGTTTACCTCCTTATCCCTAGATGGTCATACAGGATACCTGTGATGTGGAGCTTTGAAAGCCATTGGTTGCATTTTCTAGGAATGTTTCTTTTTACCTTGGGGGCTGATCTGGTAAGAGCCAGACTTGAAGGCCAAGATTCATACTGAGGAGAACCTGACCAGTATTTTGTTTGAAGGGACTCTAGAAATTTTAGTGCTTATCTGGAAATTTGGGACAGGTTGAACTCAGTATTTGCCCTAAAGTAAACTTTTGGCTATGGAATCATTCTAAGTTTCCAAGCCTTGCATAATTGGTTCATTAATTTTGTAGAGTACTACACGGGCACAAGAAATATTTTCACTTATTCTTAGTTTGGATCTGACCAAGTAATGTGATAGGAATAAGTGAGGTCTGGGCTGTTAAGTCATTTTCAGTCTTCACATCTGAATGCATGTATATAGGACTTTATTTGGTGTTGAAGAAAAACAGACATACAGGGTTTACAGTTGGGAGTATGTGAAACAGTTTATTCTTACATTATTACTTATTATTGTATTATTTGTCCTATTTATTATTTATAGGTATAAACAGTGTCATAGAATTTTAACTGTGAACTGATTTAAATCTGAAACAGAACATTTTAATTTTCATTTTTCTGAGTACAAATTTCATCCCTTGTATATACCTATACTTGTAGTATCTATATTCCAACAAAATGAAATACTAAGCAGAATTTATTACTATAATGACTTGTATTTAATATCATTTTCTGAGTAATTATGTGAAATAGGAATTATGTTTTATGTGGATCTGAATCAGGGAAGCAGAGTAAAGAAGGCCAAGAAAGTGTGAACCCAGGCAAAGGGTAGAACAAGGCATCAGCTGAACTCTTGAATCTGCCTTGCTGTGATTATCGAGTGTACTTTTAATACCGATTCTCTGGACTGCTGCTTGGTTCCAGATATTTTTCATTTCCACTGATCGGTTAAAATCAGTGTAGTAGATTTGATAGGATTACATAAAAAAACAAGACATAAAGGCCTGCTGAGGAAAGTTGACAAACTTGTTGTCTGGAGATAGCATTTGTCTTTGATTCAAATTAGAGAGTCGAGCACTTGGGGTGGGACCTGATGGTGGTCAGAGACCTGTCCAAATCTGTTTAAACCCAAGACTGGTGTATCTCACTGTTAGTGGCCAGCCTATGGAATTTTAATTTTACAGAATTGACCCCAAAAAGGGACAAATTTTGTATGATTGATTGATTGATTTCAGCTTTTTGTCTTTTGTTGTCTGCTGCTCCAGTTTTTCCAACCATCTTGTGTCAATCCCCAGAAGCAACTGCCTTTTTTTATTAGCTGCTAAAGTGTTCTTTTTCTCTGTTCTAAAAAAAACCAAATTGTAGCTATTCTTTGGGTTGACATCTTCTGAAAATGAAGATTTAATACCTTTATGTACTCTCAGTCATCATAAATTGTGATGTATATAAATATGAATATGAACGGGGACCCCCCCAAAACCCCAGAATTTATATATATATATTCTTACATGTTTAAGCCTCAGCCACCTTCCAGGCGCTCTCCATTTGATGCAGTACACCTATTGAGACATTTTTTCCAATGCTCAAAACAGTTTTTGAACTCATCCATTTTGATGCCTTTTAGTGCTTTGACTGTTTTTTTAATTAATTTTTTCCACATTGGTGAAACATTTCCCTTTGAGGACTTTTTTCATCCAGGTGAACAAAAAAAGGTCACTTGGGACAAGATTGGGTGAATAGGGAGGAAGGGGCACAGAGGTCGTGTGGGTTTTGGTCAAAAACTGCTGAAAACTCAGCGCAGTATGAACAAGGGTACTCATAAGTCACCCATCATTAAATGGGCAAATGCGTTGAAAGAGTCTTCAAAACAAAAAAATTGCTGAAGCTGAATGCAGCCTCTCACAATAATGCCATCTGGAACACTGATACAGATGGCTTCCTAGAACACTCACCTGACAAGGGAAGCCTGTGCTACAAGGGGCCTGCCCTCCAGAAGAGAATTCTTTTTGGGTCTCCTCTCATATATAACTTATAGTATCATATATGAATATATATAATCTGTAAATATAATATGTAGTTGATTATGTGAATATAATTTTTTGAAATATATTTTATTGATTATGCTATTACAGCTGTCCCATTTTTTTCTCTCCTTTATTCCCCTCTGCCCTGCATCCCACCTTCTACCAGCATTCTTCCACCTTAGTTCATGTCCATGAGTAGCACATATAAGTTCTTTGGTTTTTCCGTTTCCTGTACTATTCTTAACCACCCCCGTCTATTTTGTACCTACCATTTATGCTTCTTATTCCTTGTACCTTTTTCCCCATTCTCCCCCTCCCCACTGATAACCCTCCATGTGATCTTCATTTTTGTGATTCTGTTGCTGTTTTAGTTGTTCACTTGGTTTTTGTTTTTGTTTTATTTTTTTAGATTCAGTTACTGATAGTTGTGAGTTTGTTGTCATTTTACTGTTCATAGTTTTTATCTTTTTCTTAGATAAGTCCCTTTAACATTTCATATAATAAGGGCTTGGTGATGATGAACTCCTTTAACTTGACCTTATTTGGGAAGCACTTTATCTGCCCTTCCATTCTAAATGAAAGCTTTGCTGGATAGAGCAATCTTGGATATAGGTCTTTGCCTTTTATGACTTGGAATACTTTTTTCCAGCCCCTTCTTGCCTGCAAGGTTTCTTTTGAAAAATCAGCTGACAGTCTAATGGGCACTCCTTTGTAGGTAACTGTCTTCCCTCTTGCTGCTTTTAAGAGTCTCCTTATCTTTCATCTTGTCTAATGTAATTATGATGTGTCTTGGTGTGTGCTTCCTTGGGTCCAACTTCTTTGGGACTCCCTGAGCTTCCTGGACTTCCTGGAAGTCTATTTCCTTTGCCAGATTGGGGAAGTTCTTCATTATGTTTTCAGATAAGTTTTCGATTTCTCACTCTTCCTCCCTATGATTCTCATATTGGAACGTTTAAGGTTGTCCCAGAGGTTTCTAAGCCTCTCCTCATTTTTTGAATTCTTGTTTCTTCATTCTGTACCAGTTGAATGTTTATTTCTTCCTTCTGCACCAAATTGTTGATTTGAGTTTCCGTTTCTTTCCTGTCACTCTTGGTTCCCTGTACATTTCCCTTTATTTCACTTTTCATAGCCCTCAGTTTTCCTCTATCTTGTGACCATACTCAGCCATTTCTGTGAGCATCCTGATTACCAGTGTTTTAAACTCTGCATGTAGTAGATTGGCTGTCTCTTCACTGCTTAGTTCTATTTTTGGAGCTTTGATCTGTTCTTTTATTTGGGTCATATTTTTTTGGTCTCAGCGTGCCTGTTATGTACTAAGGTGTGGGGCATTAGGTGTTCACCAGGCCTGGGCAGCCCACATGGCTACCTTGTGTCACATAATGTGTGGGAGGGGTCAGAGAGGGAACAATGCTCTTGCTCTGCTTTTGGCTGACTTTCAGTCACTTCCCCCACTACCCACAAGCAAATTGGGCCCTTATGGGTAGATTTTGCGTATGTTCTAGGACCCTGTGGGTTTCTCCAACATCTCTCCTGTGAGGCTGTTTCTCCTGCTGCCTCAACCCCCACAGATTTTTATAGTCAGAGGTTTTGAGGCTTTATTTTCCCACTCTGGAACCCTGGATTGCATGGTCTGTCTTGCTCCCCAGTTGCTCCTCCCAGTTTATCCTCATGCAAATGTGGGACTGCCTGGTTTGCCGGCAGCTGCCGGCAGCTGCCTTGCCACAAGTCCTCTCTGTCCCCACTGTCTGTCTGCACTGGTCTGGATGAATATTTCTTCTTTAACTTCTTGGTTGTCGGACTTCCATGCAGATTGATTTTTCTGGCAATTCTGGTTATTTGTTTTCCTTTTAATTTGTTGTTGTCCTTTTGATTATGCAAGGAGGCAAAGTGTATCTACCTGTGCCTCTATCTTGGCCAGAATCTCAACTTTCTAAATACAATTCCTGTATTCACTGTTTGTGTTGTAGGAACCAAGTAGATAACTGATTATATTTACTTTTTTATATGACCGTTTGAGTATGATTTTTCTGTTGTTTAGTAATTTATTTTACTTTTAACTTGCTGGGTTTCCGTTCCTATAATTATTTCTGCTCTGTCAGCAGAAATGCTCTCTTTGGTAAAGTTCATCAGGTAATCTACCAATTAACCTTTCTTTTTTTCCTCGTTGGATATCTCCTTGAAGCCTTCTGTCCTGCTGTATTCAAGCTGTTAGCTTCCCTTCACCATAATCCTGGGGAATTTACTTTGCTTCTGCCATGTGTTGGATCTTTCTTTTCCTAGATCCCAGGTTTTCTTTTTCTTGTTTGATAACTTACATGTGTGACAAGGTTTTTTAAATTTCCCTTGCATTGACAGTATAGTTAGGCATTGAATTACAGCTTGAGAACATTTCTTTCAGGGACTTGAAGGCATTGACTTCATTGTCTTTTGGTTTCTACTGTTGCTTTAAAGCATTTTGATTACCAACCCTTTGTTTATAACATTTTTCTCTAATATTTTATATGCTTTTTAATATTCTGAAATTTCACTGTAATATGCTTTGTTATTCATGTATTTTTTTTAAAAAACCATGCTTTGTACTCATTGGGTTTTTTAAATGTAAGGATTGGTGTTCTTCAGTCTTGGAAATAAAAAAAAATTGGTAATTTTTTTTGTGTGTTACGTTTGAAGCTTCTATTATGTTGGATGTGACCACATAGTTTGAGGTTCTTCTGTTTTCTCTCCTATTGTCTTGCTTCCTTTCTGCCCTCATCATTTTTTCCTTTTTGTTCCTTCTAAGGGATTTTCTCAATGTTATCTTTTAACTTTCTGCTGGCTATTTCTGCTTTCAGTATTGTAATTTCCAAAAGCCCCTCTGCTTTTTAAACAACATATTCTTTTTCTGTGTATGCACTGTTTTTTCATTAGTTGAGTTTTTGTTTTTTTTGAGTTTTCATTTGTTCTTGGCATTGTTTTTGTTTATTTTCAGATTTTTTTTTCTTCTGGCATCCAGGATGTCTTTTTTAAGTGAGAGGTATTAGAAATCTAGTTGGAGAAAGCTCTGTGTGCATGGATGGGCAGTCCAACAGTAAGCCTTATTGTAGTTGCTAGCAGCCTTGACTTTTCTTTGGTGGAAACCTGTTACCATTTACATAAATTCTCTGGTTACTATATTATATGGTTTCTTTCTCAGTTATTCTAAAACTGAGTTTTCTAATTTCCTCCTTTGTGAAGGTGTGCTGGGGATTATTTTAATACTTGTTTTCAGTTTCTTACCTTACCCTACTCTTTCGAAGTTTGTAGCCTTTGGGATCAGTCACTGCAAAGGAATAAATATCTAGATTCTTGCTTGGGTCAGTGAGTGGTTCAGATTGCTTTATATACAAGATTTTCCCTGTTCTTGTGCAATAAGCCCTTTTATTGAAAGTTCTTTAAATAGTTATTTAGACTTTGCAGGAAATCTCACAATTTTATAAGTAGTTATTGGCAATACAAATTCCTTCCCTTGGCTTGATCTGTAAGATGTCAATCATAGGAACCAGTTTTCATGAGATGGTTTTGCCTTTACATAAATTGTATTGGGAATAAGTGTAGGAATCTGTAGGGTTTCATTAAATGTTTCCCTGTTCTTAAATGTTTCTTTTTTATGATCAGAGTATGTGGTGTTAACTTGATTTCTAAAAGATTTATTGATATTGGGCTAAATTTATTAGGAACATTCATCCAAAATTTTGAAACTTACATAGATTGTACTGTCATTTGAATAATGCTGTGGTTAGTCTAGATTTAAAATTCTTCATTGGTAAGTTTTCTGTAATCTATAGTATGACTTAGATATCTATTTCATCTTTTAAAAATAAAAAGCTGCAAATGAAAATTCATAACTTTGTAACCAATTCTTAGCTTTAAATGGAGGATACTAGTTACCGAAGAGCTCAGTATCTTTAAGCTATAATTAATTTGTCTTTTAAAACTATTCTAGGCAGAAGAATACATGTTCACTTTTAGTGAACAGGAGTATGTTCCCAAACTCAATTTTGGGTCGCCCACCTTTCACGCCAAACCATCAGCAACATAATAACTTCTTTGCTCTGTCACCAGCTCTTTATTCACACCAGCAGCTTATCGATGCCCAGTTCAACTTTCAGAATGTAGAGTAAGTATGGAAATATTTTTGCCTGTATCATATGTAAATTTTGTTTTCTGCTTGATGCAAATGCTTTTTATATGAAACATTCGAAGTTAGAGAAAAATGTCATTTTGACTTGTTTCCTTTTGATCATTGAAATACTTATTTTTTCTGAAAAAATGTTAAGAAAAAAATGCTTATTATATTGTTCTTTATTTTTGGTAGCTTGTCTAGAGCTGTGTCGTTACAGCCATTGACATATGGAAATGTCAGTCCAATACAGACTTCAACTTCCCCATTATTTCGAGGAAGGAAGTAAGTACTTATGTATTTTTAAAGAAAATTTTTACATATCTTTTACTAAAATTATAGGAACACTGCCCTAATTTTTTTTCCTGGGATCTCTGCGATCAGTCCTGTCGCAACTTTTAAAACTTATACATAATATTTAAATAATTTTAGAAATACTTTATTTACACCTGCTATTGTAAGTTTTATATTGGAACGATGCTATATTTCTTCAGAAAACTACTTTTAATTGAGATTGTTAACTAAATCGGATGGCTTCCTGTATTTATATACTAGTCCTGCCATAACAAATTACAACAGACTGGTTGTTTTAAACAACAGAAATTTGTTTTCTCAAAGTGCTGGAGGCTAGAATTCCAAGATCAGGGTATTGGCAGGTTTGGCTTATTCTGAAGCTTTCCTCCTTGGCTGGTAGATGGCTGCCCTCTTTATGTGTTCTCATGTGGTTATCCCTGCATCTATGTTTTCTGTGTTCTCTCTCTCTTCTATTAGTGATACTGATTAGGACCCGTCCTAATGACCTTATGTAAACTGCTTTAAAGGCCGTACCTCCAAATACTGGGGGTTAGAGCTTAAATATATGATTTCTGAACAAGACATAATTCAGCTTCTAACACCTTCTTTTTAGTATAGTTTACTACTATTTGGTTTATCTAAATCTTATACAGGTAACAGCCCATGATAAATATTATAATGAGAATTTCTGTATGACATAAAGCTTTCTGTAGAGAAGTCAAGAGCCAATTAATTTTAACTAGTTAGATAAAAGAAATTAATATATTATAAAGTAATTATAATAGAGCTTTAGAGGTGATTATTAAAATATGATTTGGCAGTACTTGATAGATATTGCTATTTAAAGCTTATGTAAATATTTTATAATTTTTGTGTCCAATTAATACTAGTTGAGATTGATCATAAGTATATAGTAGGCCTTGTTCTAAGGACTTTACAAATAATAATTTGATTAAGTTTCATAGCACTTTATGATGCGTAGGTACTGTTAACCCTGTCTTCTTGAGAAAGCTGAAGCACACAGAGGTTAAGCAGTTATTTATTCAAGTAAAATAGGTGTAACTGTGGTATGAGCCCAGGAGGTCTGACTTTAGATACCGTGTTTAGAAGCACTGTGAGTTGCTCTGTTGTCATTGTGAAATCTATATAATGATGCTAAAAGTACTGACTTTGTTCACATTTTTTAAAGTTTTTTACTTTTACAGTTTTTGGAAATTGCTCTGATAGCCCATTGCTAAATCATGAATGACAATAAATTCCACTAGTTTATAGTTATGCATATTTTAAAAACTAAAATTGGCCTTCTCAGAAGATATGCAAAATACAAAATTCTAAATTACTTTTAATGTTTAAAAAATATTGAGTATGCTTATGTTTTTAGCACTGTTCACTTTAGTGAACAGATATAGGAGTTCCAGTTATTTGTGGGTCTGTCAAGGAGAAATTGGCAGAATCCCAAAGGATTATTATAATAAAAATCTTCAGGTTTCTGTGACCAGGAGAATTTTAGAGCTTAAAAGGAATTGGATTCCTATGGCATTACCTACAAAAGTATTACCTACATGAACAACTTGATATATCAGTAAATTTCTTTTATCAACAAATACTACTTTTTTAATGATTTTTTCCTTGCCTTTTGTTTTGAAAGACTTTAGGCCTCCAGAAAAAAATTTAAAGACTAATAAATGAACAACTGTATTTCATTAACCTAAATATCAATTAAACTGTTGCTACATTGATTTTTTTTTCTGCCTCTTTCTCTTCCTATCCTCACAGTTTTTCCTGAACCTATGAAAGCAAGTTGTTTACTTCGTTTGACTTTACCCCAATACATATTAGTGCATTCCTCCTAAAAAAATGACATTTTCCTAAATAACCAAAAGTAAATTGGTGATGTCCAAGAACTTTAACAGCATTAATATAACCTGAAATGTAATTCATTTCATTTTTTTAAACTTGTCTAATATCTTTAATAGCTTTTTAAAAAAGTAAATATCTCCTAATTTGATCTTGCCTACTGATGAGCCAGAACATAGGTGGACTCAAAGAGCCTTTTAAAATATATGGCACTCGATTAATTTAATTTTATCTTTTTCTGTTAATTGGATCTTTTGTTGTTAGTGATTTTATAAATGGAAATTTTCCTGTAAACTTTTCACTGCTGAGATAAAACATTGGGATAGTTCAAAAGTGGGAGACTAACCTTAATGTATATATATGTAGTTTGTTTTTTTCATATGCATTATTCTCATTTTTCCTGAGGTATTATTAAAGGCATCTCTTGGCTAAAAATAGATATTTTAAGATTTAGGTAGAGCTAATATGGGGCCATGCTGAGAGAGTCATTATTGTCATGTTTATATATGGTTAATTGTTTTCTATTTGTTATCAGAAAGTTATACCTTTAATTACTAAGGTATATTGCTTGTTTTCAGGAGATTAAGCGATGAAAAAAACCTTCCTCTTGACGGTAAACGGCAGCGTTTCCATTCACCCCACCAAGAGCCAATTGTAGTTAACCACATAGTGCCTTTATCAAGTGAAAGAAGATATCCAGTGCCACCATTGTTTCATACAACAAACTACATACCAGATATAGTCAGATGTGTGCCAGCTGTTCGAGAAATATCAATTTTAGAACCTAGAGAAATCACACTGCCTGAGGCCAAAGATAAGGTAATAATAATGAAATTTTAGTTTTACTTTTTGGGAAGTACTGTATTTTGCTGTGTATAATGTATACTTTTTTGCCCAAATTCTTGAGGGAAAGATAAGGATGTACATTATACAGGGGTAGTACTAAAATACCTTGTATCTGTTCTTGTGTTTTGTAAGTATTTATTACATAATATGTTTATAATATGTACTATAATATGTTCAAAAATAGATGCTAGAATTCCTTTTAATACAAAAAGCAAGTACCTAATTATAAATGAATAAAAAATTGAATTAAAAAATTAAAATGAAAGATTTTTTTCTCTGAAAGCTTAGGCCATAAACATGGGTATGCATTATACACGGGAGTGCACTATACACAGCAAAATACAGTAATATAAATATCATATTAAAGGTATCGAAAATATCTGATGTCTTGGATTGAGTAGAACTTGCCTTTTTTGCACTATTTAAAGTACTGTTTAACATAGTTTTTTGTCAAAATTTGAGTTTTTTATTTTAGCTATTTTTTTAATAGAAGTGCAACTTCCATATCAGGATATAAGATAGTCTCTGTTTCTTAAAAATCTGCGACTAGAGCCCAAAATATTTGGTTTTTTAGTTTAGAGAATTCTCTTGTTACTTATTACAGGAAAACAATTTTCACATGGATGTTGTAATGAAGTGTTAAAAAGCATTTTCTTTTGGGATATTTTTGTTTGTCATGCAGTTTTTGCATGTCAAAAATAGAGAAGAATCCAGGAGTCACAGAGGAAATACATTCAAAATAAGAAGGATTTTTCAAAAACATTATTTATTAAAAAATATTTCAAATAAATGAAATGAAGCTATTTAAATAATTGTTTTTTGGAAAATTACATTATCAGCATTGGGAAACAGTGAATTACTTCATACCAATATTAGAAGCCAATTTCTTCCCTTTCTCCTATGTATATATGTTTTAGATTTCATTTATTCACTTTTAGAGAGAGTGGGAGGGAGGGGGGATGAGAGGGAGAGAAACATCGATCATTCGCCTCCCCTCTTCACACCAAACTGGCATGTGCCCTGCCCGTGAATTAGGACCAGCAGCCTTTTGCTTTGCAGAACAGTGCCCAACCGGCTGAGTCACACAGGGTAGGGTCCTTTCTCCCATATATAGTGAAACAACAACAAAAATTCCAAGTGATTTAGAAGTTTATAATGTAAATACCCTCATTCTGTTGTATTGTCTCTATGGCTTATATTTGCTGTTTTTGCATTTTCAAAGTTGGTTCCCTCTTGAGAAAGACATTTGTATGCTAAGGAGAATAAGCCTGAAGGGTGTATAGTGACTTTGTATTATTCATCTTGGGTTCCTAGCAACCAGCATAGGTCTAGAACATAGTAAATGTACAGAAAATGGTCAAAAGAACACTTTTGTTCATTCCTTTGTTGTGTTGCTTTTTATTCTTTTTTAAACTGAGATAAAATTGTAAATAAAATTTATTCTTTTAAAGTGTATGATTCAGTGGTTTTTAGTATATTCATAAAGTTGTGAAACCATCACCACTTTCTAATTCCAGTACATTTTCATTATCTTACAAAGAAATCATGTACCCAATTGTAGTCCCTTCCTCATCCCTCCCCCTCCCTTTAGCTCCTGGCAACCACTAGTGAATTGTTTATTTCTAGATTTGCCTGTTCTGGACATTACATATAAATGGAGTTTTACAATATATGGTCTTCTTGCTTCTTTCACTTGGTGTGTTTTCAAGGTTCATCTTGCTCATAGCAATGTATCAGTTCCTTATTCTTTTTTTTTATAGCTGAATAATAGATATTCTATGAATCATTGTATAGATATACCATATTTTGTTTATACATTCATCAGTTGATAGACTTTTGGGCTCTTTCCACTTTTTAGCTGTTCTGAATAATGGTGCTATGAAAATCTTTGTACAGGTTTTTGTGTGGACATATTTTCATTTCTCTCAGGTAGCTCTCTAGGAGTGAAACTGCTAGGTTATGTGGAACCTCTGTGCACAACTGTTTGAGGAATGGACAGAGTTTTCTAAAGTAGTTATACCATTTTACATTCCTACCAGCAGTGTATGAACATTCCAGTTTCTCCAGTTTCTTGTTAACACTTGCAATTGTGTTTTTTGGGTATAGCCATTCAAGTGGGTGTGAATGGTATCTCATTTCCTAATGACTAATGATGTTGCTCATATTTTCATTTGCATGTTGGCCATTTGTGTATCTTTTTTGGAGAACTGCCTATTCAGATCCTTTGTCCATTTTTGGATGGTGGTTATTATTTTTATTTTCGAGTTTTAAGAGTTCTTTATATATTCTGAGTACTAGATCACTATCAGATTACCAATGTATACATATATTCTCTCATTCTGTGGTTTGTCTTTTTACTGACTTGATGGTGACCTTGAAGTACAACAAAAGCTTTCATTTTGATGAAGCCCAATTTATCTGTTTCTTTGATTGCTTAAGCTTTTGAGGTTGTGTCTAATAACATTAAGGTGTTATTTTGAGAGTTTTCAGTTTCAGCTGTTAGATTTTTGATACATTTTGAGATAATTTTTATGTGATATAAAGTATGGGTCCAACTTTAATGTTTTGCTATTGTTCAGTTGTTCTAGTACTATTTATTTAAAAGACTGTCATTCTTTTTTTGAAATTTAATTTTTGTTGTATTTTTGTCCGTTACCATATAGTCCTCATATACCTCCCTCCCTGTCGTTCTTTTCTTACTATGAAGTGGGAAAAGCAGTTAGGCACAACCCATGGGAGGCAGGGAAAAGCAAGGTACAATGAGAAAGGACTAACTTGGGATGCTTTGGTACCATTTCTCCCACTGCCCCTTTCTCCTTTCTTTGCTTCCTCATTTTCTTTTTATTTTTTAAAATTGATTTTAGATAGAGAGAGGAAGGAAGAGAGACAGCAAGAGAGAAACATCGATTTGTTGTTCACTTACTTATGCATTCGTTAGTTGCCTCTTCTGTGTGCCCTGATTGGGGATCAGACGTGCAACTTTGGTTTGTCAGGATGATGCTCTAACCACTGAGCAACTGGCCAGGGCTGCTTTCTCATTTAAAAAAAAAAAGCTCTTGTCATGCTGTAATTTGAAAGCCTATGCTATAAATGAAATCAGACCAATTTTTTGAATGAATATATAAGAATCTTACATATGGAATTTTAATGTATGCATGCAGTTAGACCCATTTTTATGGAATTTATAAGTATAGGTCTATATTTTTGCATGTATTTATATGTTTAAAACTTTTATTAACTATTAAAACTAAATTACATGAGTTATACATATGAACTAGGTATATGTTGAGTGTCAGTAAATTTAGTAACATAATTCACATTTGTCAGTTAATATCCAGTAGAATATGGTTCCATATTAATAACTTTCTTTACCTAGTAGCATAGAAAAAGATTCTCTTAAATTTTATGGTCTTGGAACAAACATTTATATCAAAGGGATGAAGATACATTTTATTGTTAAACCAATTTCTTTGAATACTACTCACTACCTGCCTATTTGTGAGAGAAACAAGGCAAGCAGTTAGTTCTGTACTCATTCTTGAAATGAACACTTTTTGACAAAACGAATATAAACCGATTTCTTTTGCAGGCATTCTACATATGCTATGTCATTTAGTTTTTTCAGCTCCCCCATAGCATAGATATTATCCTGATTTTACTGAGGCTCAAAAAGCTAAATAACTTGTTCAAGGTTACAGCAAGTTAGGTGACAAAACCAAGATTTGACCCTTGTTATTAATAATTAAAAAAAAAGGAACTTAAAGTGCTTAGAGTCAAGGGTAGGGAGATGACATTCTTAGAACTGACTGTAATACCAGGTAATTTGTAATAGTAATAGCTAATATTTATTGACTCTCTTTCTTTGCCAGCAGTGTGTTCAGTGGTTTGTGTGGTTAATCTCTGCCACAGTGTAAAACAAGTGGGATGGTCAGTGTGTCATGAAAACGGAGCAGTGGTTCTGAGCCTTGAATTCACAATGCAATGCCATTGAAGATTTTAGAATAGAGGAGGAATAGCACAGTCAGATTTGTATTTCTGGGAAGACAGTTCCCATGATCTAGTACAGTTTGGTTTGGAATAAGGAAGGCCTGGAAGATGGATGACTACCTTGAATGCTATTAAATTCGCTCAGGTGAAAGATGTTGAAGCTTTTAGTTGTGCCAGGTGGGAAACATGTGAGAGACCATGCATAAGGAAAATCGATAGAATGAATGTAGGGGCGATGGGGAGGGAGAGAGAGACAGACAGACATTGAGACATCATTGACTAATTGATATGATTCTGGACTTCTACCAGATAATGAACCTAGATTTGGGATATATAAGCTAATTGAGAAATTATCAAGAGCTATTTGAAACTGGGAAAATCTGCTACAACATCTGTGCTCTTGAGAAATCTATGTTCTGCATATTGTACACTAAGAATATAGGGCTATGGGAAAAAAGGGCTGGAACAGCCCAAATAATTTTGTAACCAGAACACTAGCAAGAATAATAATTGCTGCCTTGGGAAATAAATTGGACAGACTGGTAGGTGGCTCAGCATGGCCGGATGCTGCTAGAGGGGACGTTAAAAATATACAGAATAGAGTTGAAAGTGGCTTGGGGTTGGCACCGAACCAAGGCAGTGAAAAGTGGAGCTCTGAGTCAGTGAGGCTGCTGTTAAGGTAGACATGGAAGGAAATACAACAGCAGAGAGCTGTGTGAGGCTGGGGGTATGTTTTATTGATTGGGAACCCTGAGTACAGATGTTTCTTTTAGCTGTTTTAGGTGTATAAGGACTCCTGCCTGTGCAGCAGCCAAGCTGAGGGCTTTTTTTCTTTCTTATGAAGGTTATAATTCTAGGGTTTCAATTCTGTAGTACAAATCAACCCAACTGACAGGTTAAATTGATACTATTCTCCTACTTACCAATTGTCTATAAGCTAATTGGTGTTGTGGGAAAATGTGTTATAGCTGAACTGGAGGTATATATTCCAGAAGCAAGGCCAGGGACTGAGATTTGAATCCTGAAGTCACCTGCAATAAAAGAGATGATTGAAACTGCTAGAGTAGGTTAGATCCTGTATTTATTTAGTATTCAACAAATATTTCTGAGTGCTAGCTATATGCCACAATTTTGTGCTAAATATACATGGTCTCTTTACCATATACATATAGTATAGTGAGAGGTAGATCCACTAAAAAACAGCCATGCTTCTCTGGCTCGTGTGGCTCAGTGAATTGAGCACTGGCGTGTGAACTGAAAGGTCGCTGGTTCCATTCCCAGTCAGGGCACATGCCTGGGTTGTGGGGCAGGTCCCCAGTTGGGGGCATGCCAGAGGCAATCAGTGTTTCTCTTGCATGTCGATATTTCTTTCTCCTTTCCCCTCTCTCTAAAAATAAATAAATAAATCTTTTTAAAAAACAGTCATGCTAATCACAGTTATTTTTTATACATGTATTAGCTGTGAAGGAAAATTAGAGTTGCTGAGGGGTGGTGGCCTAGAGGAGGTAACATTTGAACTGAGATTTGAAGAATAGTAGGAGTTAACTAGTGAAAGAGTGGTGGGATAGAGAGAGTGCTTCAGAAAGAAGGAACAGCACGTTTGAAGGTCCTGATGCAGAAAGGAGAATGGGATGTGCAAAGGACTGAAAGGAGCCCAAGGTGGTGGTTACAGTTTGGTTGATAGGAGGAAAATGGCTGAAGTGTGGTGGAAGCAGGGAGAGGGGCAGATTGTGCAAACACTTGTATGTCCTTTTGGTCTTCAGCATAAGAACAGTGGTGATTTTTTCAGGAAGAAAGTGGAATGAGTTAGAATTATTCTGACTTCATTGTATGAAGTTGAACAAGTACGGATGTAGAGTAGTTATTGTATTGAGTATTATAGATGAAAAGTAATGGTGCCTTGAATCCGGAAGTGCTGGTAGTTAAGAGGAAGAGAAAATAACGGAGTTAAGCTATATTTGGGAAGTGGAGTTGATAAAATTTAATACTAGATTAATTAGATCATCTAAGCTTCTGAACTATTGACATTTTAGACCAACTTTCTTTGGTGTGGACGACTGTCCTGTGTATACTAAGGATGTCTAGCTGCATTCCTGGCTTCAGCTCACTAGATGCCACTAATGCCCAGTCATGACAACCAAAAATGTCTGCAAATATTGCCAGATATCCCCTGAGGGACAAAATTGCCCTTGGTTGAGAACCACTGGATTAGATAGAAAAGAAAATATTGAGGGTTACTTCTAAGTTTCTAGCTTCTACAACTGGATCATGGTAGTATCACCCACTGAAATAAAGTAAAAACTAAGAGGAGTAAGATTTGTGTGTGCGTATTGTCTCATAGGTATCAAGAGGATGAGCCGGAGTCTCATGAGTTCTGTGGACATGGTGCCTTTAATGTGCATTTGAAACATCACATTAGATATGATAGTTTCTATATTTAAAGATGATAGTTTAATATTTACAGATCTGCAATTCAGGGCCCTTTGACTAGAGATGTACATTTATTTGTACTTCAGTATATAGATGGTAATTGAAGCTGAGAATATGGATATGATTGTACAGGGAGAGAAAAGAGCCAGATCAAAGCTTGATTGAAATACTGAAAAATTGAGGAAAGAAATATAAACTAAGAAATGTAAACTTAAGAGTCTATACAACTGTTTTGGGAAGTTTGGCTGTGAAGGGGAGGAGCAAAAGGTAGGAAAATGAACAGATTTATTTATTTAGTTATATGGTGGGAGAAACTTTAGTTACATATAAAAGGAATGGGTTACATATAAAATTTTGTCTCTTTTATTGCCAAGTTGCCCATTATGCCTCTGCCTTCTTAAAATGAATATTCTAAACATGATAAAAGAAAGTGTTTTGAATGATGGGTGAGATGTGTGCCTTGTCATGGGCTCCGGGGCAGGCCTAAAGAGAGATTGGAAGTGAGAGAGATTGAAAAGCTGATCAAGATACAATATTTGTGACTTGGAGGTGGACTTAAGGCTTGAATACAAATATATTGGAATTGGCTTTGAAAATGGGAAGAGGACAGTTTGACAGTGTCTGATAGGAGAGTTAAGGAGGTGACATTTTATTCAGATACATTAGTTTGTGGATAGGAAGCTGAGGAATATCTGGTATCCTCAATTTTCTTAGTAAATTTTAATATGAAGTTAATGGCTAAATTTAAAAGATGCCAGTTTTGTGATTTTTTTTTAGATTTTATTTATTATTATTATTATTTTTAAAATGTTTTATTTATTTAGTTTTAGAGAGAGGGGAAGGGAGGGAGAGAAACATTATTGTGTGGTTGCCCCTCACATGCTGCCTACTGGGGACCTGGCCTGCAACCCAGGCATGTGTCCTGACTGGGAATGGAACCGGTGACCTTTCACTTTGTAGGCCAGTACTCAATCCACTGAACCATACCAGCCAGAGCCAATTTTGTGATTTTTAAACTTTTGTTCAGTTTCATCTCTTATCAACTCAGATGTAAGCAGAGAAGGTGATTGTGTTGACCTAAGATTAAGATTTTTCAGGATAATGTTAAGGCGTGGCTCAAGGGATGCGTTATGGTGTATAGAGTGGATAGGGACAGAAGTAGTGCTATCCAAGTGCTGATGAGTTGGGAGGAAGGGGAGGATTTGAGGGAACCCAGGTCTATGTGGTTCTAGGGCAGATATGAGGGGAGTAAGAAAGGAAGAATTGGACAGGAGATTGAAGCCAAGATAGTATATTGGAATTTTAAATTTCAGAGCCAGAGAAGTACTTCTGTTTTACTGCAAAGACCACATAATGATACACTGTGGGAGTGTATCATTGATGAAAAATATTGGAATAAAAGAAGTTGAGAAATGGAAGAAATATGTTGTGGAATGTAGTTCATTATAGATATGGAAATCACCTATAGTGATGGCAAAGATTAGATTGAAGGGGTAAGTGTGAACCAGATAAGTAGATAAATAGGGAAATTGGTCTATGGATGGCAACAAGATATCAGAGTTCCGGGCATTATTGTAAGGAATGGGAAAGGTTGATTTGCAATGCACATAGAGGACCAGGGACTTTTCTTGTAAAGTCTGTTTATTTCTGGTATGAATACCAGGGCTTGGGCAGATGTTTTATTTAAAGGAACAGATGGTATATATTTTAGACTTTGCCGCTTACATATGGTTTCTGTCACATCTATTTATTTGTTTGTTTTTTCTAACCCTTTAAAAATATAAGAACTATTCTTAGCTCATCTAAAACCAGTCAGCAGTTGAAGGTTGGAGTCTGTGCTGAGCCATGGATTATCTGTGACTAGCGTGTTATACTTTACTTTGTAAAAAAGTTACTAGCTATTTCAGTTACTAAGTAACTATTGTTAGTTGAGTAACAGTTTTGATTGGAAAGGGTTAAGGAGAAAATACATATTTATTTTTAAAATACTGTTGGTAGTATTGTTTTACACTTCTCACTATGCTAATTACTTTTACACTTCTAAATAAAATTTTAATTTTATTTGTGGTGGATTCAAGTTGAGTCAGCAGATACTGGAGTTATTTGAAGCATGTCAGCAGCAAGTAAGTGATTTAAAGAAGAAAGAACTCTGTCGAACTCAGCTGCAGAGAGAAATTCAGCTGTTATTTCCACGTATGTTTTCCTATTTTTCATGCCCATTATATGTATGAATTTCTGTTTAAAAATATAAATGATACCTTATAGTTCTTTTCTGTTTCTCTAGAAAGCAGACTTTTTTTGGTTGGGTCCTCTTTAAATGGCTTTGGTACCCGGACAAGTGATGGTGATTTATGTCTAGTTGTGAAAGAGGAACCAGTAAGTAATGAAACATTTATTCTTGTGTTAAGTCATTTAAGAAATTTTATATAAAAGTCATTGAGGAAAATAACTTGTTTTGCTTTAATTAGCCCTTTGGATTCTTTGCTTATATTATACTATTCAGGGAAAGCCAGGAAATACTTCTTTTTCTTTTAAGGTCTTTGTACAATAAGCATAACAGGAATTTTAGGATTAATTTATTTTTAAGTTGTTAAAGTGAGATGGCTTCACTGTGCATTTAAAGAGCTCTGCCTCTGTCATTGGGTTATATATATGTTACCAGGATTCAGCAGAGAGAAAGAACATTTGTCAGTATTATCTTCTTGATGTATTTCCTTTCCATTTGAATTTTCAGTGATTCTATTTCTAATCTTTTTTTTTTTACTCCCTTGAAAATACTATAAGGTTTAGAGTCTTTATTTTGGGAATACAAAAAGAGAGATTTCACTGAGGTTTAAAATAAGGCTATTGTGATATGTTTCTTCTGATATTTTGGCTTTGTTCTTTTTATTTTTATTAAATTTTGCTATTTAGTATTGTGTTTATTTGAATTTCCTGTTAACTGGTATCCTTGCGTATCCTTAATACCATTGTAATTGCTGACCTGAAGCAGCCTCTTTAATATGCTGAGGCCTCTTCTGAATTACCAAAGATTAAATTATTTCAGTATAATTAATTAATTTAGTTATTTATTTATTTTTAAAAAGATTTTATTTATTTATCTTTAGAGGGGAAGGGAAGGAGAGAGGAGGAGAAATATCAATGTATGGTTGCCTCTTGTGTGTCCTCTACCAGAAACTGGCCTGCAATCCAGGCATGTGCCCTGACTGGGAATCGAACTGCGATCCTTTGGTTCTCAGGCCTGCACTCAATCAATCCCCTGAGCTACACCAGCCAGGGATATTTCAGTATAATTTTAAAAGATGTTATTATAGTTCAGCTATTTAAAAATACAAGAAAAATCTATTGAATGGTAATATATGCTTTTACTATTCCTACTATTTTACCAACAAAATTGGCTTCTAGTTACTGTAAATCAGAAAGATTTATTTCAGGAAAGAAACTTTCTAGGCTTTGGGATTCTACAAAGGAAAGTTTAAAAACTCATATAATAAATACAGTGGGGAATACTGGTGTTTTAATTAAAATTTCTGTCATGTAATTATAGTATACTCAGGCACATTTCACTAACCTTTCAGTCTTACATGCCTGAATCACATTGTCACAACTTGTACTGAGACACCATAGATTTGAACCTTATCCTTAAGTAGTTCATAATGTGGATTGGGAAATAAAACATGTTATAGAAAGTTACAATTTTGTTTATTTTTTTGGAGAACATTGCTTTTTATACATTGATACTAAAAACATGGCATAAACGGCTCTTTCAGTATTTCAATTAAAATTGTGCTTTAGGTTTAAAATCAGGAATTGATTTAGAAATGCTGATGGGAAAGACAATATAAAGATTGACTTTTCCTATAATGTAATTTAGTGTAGATTGAGAAGGAACTCCAAAGAAAAGTATACTCCATATGTTTTGTCTTTGTTGAGAGACATTAAGAAAATGAAACACTAAGGTTAGACAGATAATGAAAAACACTTTATTTTTAACTTTTCAGTGTTTTTTTCAGGTAAATCAGAAGACTGAAGCACGGCATATACTCACCTTAGTCCATAAACACTTCTGTACTAGACTTTGTAAGTCTGATATGCCTCAAGTTCATATGTCGTCTGACATAATTATTTATTTAAAATGTCTGTCTCACTTATTTTCTGGTAAGAATTGTTTATTTTCTGATCAGGATAGGTATTATATGGATCTCTTTTTCCAAGTGAATTCCTTTAAGTTTTGATTGAAAAGAGTAACTATTCAACAGTTCTTTATTGAGTTTACTTGCAAGATACCACACTGAATGCAGTGGAGAACTCTTATAAGCTTCAGTTCTTTTTCTCAAAAGGTTATACACTGTAATGTCAAGTATCTGTGAAAAGCCAAAAGAGTGATACAGGTAAAGTCTTATTCAGGTGAGGGAGAGAGAATTTAATCTTGTCCTGAAGTGAGATGGAATTTAGGACATCAGATTTTAAAAACAATGATCACTGAAGTTGAAGCCCAAGTGAATTACCCCAAAAGAAAAAAAACTGTTAACTTAGGCAATTTTATTGTAAGATATTATTATTTGACTAAACTAAGCAGATTTTAATTCACATGTTAAGCCATCTCAAATAATTTATTTTAAACATCTGAAGAATATTATGGACAGTTGAAGTTACACTGTGTGATGTTGGAAAGACATTTTTGCATTTATTTAACAGATGGATATTTTTTGTTCACCTTTGAGGTGAAAAACGCAAAGTCAAATAGTACCCTTGAACAGCTTACATCTATTAAAGGAGAGAAATACATGATTTATTTTAGTGGAGTGAAGTTTTTAATCTGTGAAATAAAGGAGTAATTCATCCCTTAAGGGGGTTTTTAACAGCTAGTATTAGAATTATAAAATATTAAATGTTGGAGGGACCTTAGAAGTCATCTAATTCAAATGAAAGGTGTTTTTTGTTGTTGTATTTTCTGGCTTTTAATACCTGAGGAGACTGGTGACCCAGGGGTTCAGTAACTTGCAGGCGAAGTATAGTTTGTTTTTGTTGGTTATTAGAACTTGGACTTGGAATTTGAACTTTTAATTTCTTATTTTTCACTAAACCTCACTGAATTATTACGTATAAATTTTATTTGAAGCTTGGTATGCGAGTATTTTATGATTTTGGTGGTAAAGCATTATAAAAGAAATTTACAGTTTTTATATCTGGTATTCTTTAGTTAAAACATTAGGAAATTGCTCATTTAGGAAAGTTCGTAGTTTTTTATATTTTTGTATTTTCCTAAATTTCTACACTGAATGATACATTACTTTCAACTCAGAAAAAATATTTAAAAACTGATGGAATAAGAAGTATGTAGATATGTGTTCTTTCCTTTAGAGGTCATACTTGTTTTGAGGTCTCACTATCCATATATCATGTTGTAAGCATTTACACATTTAAAATTCTACATATGATTTTTATGCTGCCATAATATTTTGCTCTGCATTGAACCAGAATTTAGCTATCCCACTGCTGCTAGCGTGGATATTTTTCATGTTTACATTGTTCTGACGAACTTCTTCATAAATATTTATAGATGTTAGACCACATTTCTGAAAATAACTTTATTATAAAACCTTCTAAATGGTATTAGAAATTTCATTCTTAGAATTCAGTAATGTCCTTTCTTTGCTTTCTTTCTCAAAGACTATATTTTCTTAAATTATTTTAGCTTAGTAAAATGCTATTTTTAAAGACTGTACATTGTTACAGTATGAATTTGAGATGTCTTCACAGATATTCACATTATCTCTTTCACCCTTCAGCCGGCTACATTGAGAGACCACAGCTGATTCGAGCAAAAGTGCCAATTGTTAAATTCAGGGATAAAGTCAGGTAAATAATTATTGAATTCCCTATTTTTACTTGCTTTAGGTAATTTTTAGATATTCTTTTGATGTAGATTATTTTTTTAATATATTTTATTGATTATGCCATTACAGTTGTCCTATTTCCCCCCTTCATTCTCCTCCACCCTGTACACCTCTCCTCCACCATTCCCCCTTTCACTTATGTCCATGTGTCACAAGTTCTTTGGATTCTGTATTTCCCATACTGTTCTTGCCCTCTCCCTGTCTATTTTCTACCTATCATCAATGCTACTTATTCCCTGTACCTTCTCCCCCCTGCTCCTCTTCCCACTCCCCTGTTGCTAACCTTCTATGTGATCTCCATGTCTATGGTTCCGCTCTTGATCTGACTGTCCTCTTAGTTTGCTTTTGTTTTAGGTGTGGCTGTTAATAACTGTGTTTGCTGTCTTTTGACTGTTCATCTTTTTTATCTGCCTTTTCTTAGATAAGTCCCTTTAACATTTCATATAACAAGGGCTTGGTGATGATGAACTCTTTGAATTTGACCTTATCTGGGAAGCGCTTTATTGGCCCTTCCATTTTAAATGAAAGCTTTGCTAGATAGAGCAATCTTGGATGTAGGTCTTTGGATTTCATGACTTGGAATACTTCTTTCCAGCCCCTTCTTGCCTGTAAGGTCTCTTTTGAGAAATCAGCTGATGGTCTGATGGGAACTCCTTTGTAGGTGACTGTCCCCTTAGCTCTTGCTGCTTCTAGAATTCTCTCTTTCATTTTAATCTTGGCTAGTGTAATTATGATGTGTCTTGGTGTGTTCCTCCTTGGGTCCAATTTCTTTGGAACTCTCTGAGCTTCCTGGATTTCCTGGAAGTCTATTTCCTTTGCCAAAATGGGGAAGTTCTTCTTTATTATTTGTTCAAATAACTGTTCCACCCGTGGCTCTTCCTCTTCCCCTTCTGGTACCCCTAGAATTTGGATGTTGGAGTGTTTAAAGATGTCCTGGAGGTTCCTAAGCCTCTCCTCATTTTTTTGAATTCTTGTTTCTTCATATTTTTCTGTTTGGTCAATTTTTTTCTTCCTTCTGGTCCACTCCCTTGATTTGAGTCCCAGTTTCCTTTCCATCACTGTTTGTTTCCTGTGCAATTTCCTTCATTTCAATTAGTTTAGCCTTCATATGTTCCTCTAATTTGTGGCTAAAATCAACCAGTTCTGTGAGCATCCTGATCACAGTTTTGAACTATGCATCTGAAAGTTTGGCTATTTCTTCATCACTTAGAGTTATTGGCTCTGGGGCTTTGAACTGTTCTTCTTGAGCCATAATGTTTCGCTCTGTTAGCGCCTGTTACATATGAGGGGCGGCGCCTTAGGTGCTCACCAGGGTGGGGCCCCCCCAGGTTGCTGGTTTGTGACGCTGTATGTGGGGGCGGGGTCAGAGAGGAACAATAGCGGTCCCTTCTGCTGCTTCCGGCCGCTGGGGCCTGTGCGGTCCATCCGTCCCTCTCACTCCTTCGCTGGTTTATCTGTGTGCAAATGTGTGACGCAGTCACCTTTCAGCGGGTCTGCCTGCTGCTGCTCCACACCTGGGATCTGCTCACGGCTGCTTGGGCGCCTGGGGTGTGTGCCCAGTCTGGTGGATCTTTCCTGCCCAACCCCCGCTCTGCTGCTGGTTCCACCCCTTGTACTGGCCTGGCTGAAGCGTCCATTGCTGTCGGACTTCTGAATAGTTAAATTTTCTGTGGTTTGGCTGTGTTTTTGTTGCTAAAACTTTGCTGTTTTTAAACTTGGTTGTGCGAGAAGGTACAGCGTTGCCACCTATGCCTCCATCTTGGCGGAAGTCTCTCAAGTTCTTATTTTTAAATAAAATTTAGTTAAATTAGTAAGTTTTTATTTTTAGGCAGTGTTTTCATAGAAAAACTTTTTAGAGGCTTGGAATTTTTTTTCAGTTACAGTTGACATTATACATTATTATATCAGTTTCAGGTAGACACTGCAGTGATTTGAAATTACAGAACTTTCTAAGTGATCATCCTGATAAATCTTGTATCCATCTGACACCATACATAGTTATTAGAATATTATTGACTTTATTTCCTGTGCTGTACTTTACATCCCCATGACTGTTCTGTAACAGCCAATTGTACTTCTTAATCCCTTTTCCTCTTTCACCCAATCCTCCATCTCTTCATTCCATCTGGCAATTCAAAATGTTCTCTGTATCTGCAACTCTGTTTCTGTTCTGCTTTTCATTTTATATTTTAGAGTCAGTTGTTGATAAATATGTATTTATTGCCTTTTGTTGTTCATATTTTAATTTTTTTTCTTCTTAAAGAAGACCCTTAAACATTTCATACAATACTAGTTTGGTGGTAATGAACTCTTTTATCTTTTTGTTTCTTTTTTTGTCCTTGAATGGTCTTTATTTAATTTTTTAATTATATTTTTATTGATTATGCTATTACAGTTGTCCCAATTTTTCCTTCTTTGCCTTGCTTCACCCAGCATTGTCCACTCCCTCAGGTAATCCACACATCTTTGTTCATGTCCATCGTCAAGTGTATAAATTCTTTGACTACTGTATTTCCTATACTATACTTTTACATCCCCAGGGATATTCTATAACTACAAATTTGTACTTCTTCATCCCCTCATCTCTTCACCCATTCCCCCACACCCTCCTTCCATCTGGCAACCATAAAAACGCTCTCTTTATTCATGATTTTGTCTCTGTTCTTGTTTGCTTCGTTTATTTTTTTAGATTGAGTTGTGATTGATATGTCTTTATTGCCATTTTATTGTTCATAGTTTTGATCTTCTTTTACTTAAATAAGTCCCTTTAACATTTCATGTAATAATGGTTTGGTGATGATGAACTCCTCTAGATTTTTCTTGTTCAGGAAGCTCTTTATCTGCTCTTCAATTCTAAAAGATAGCCTTGCTGGGTAGAGCAATCTTGGCTGTAGGTCCCTGCTTTTCATGACTTTGAATATTTATTGCCAATCCCTTCTAGCCTGCAAAGTTTCTTTTGAGAAATCAACCGACAGTCTTATGGGAACTCCCCTGTAGGTAACTAACTTCTTTTCATCTGTTGTTTTTAAGATTCTCTCTTTATGTTTAAGCTTTGGCATTTTAATTATGATGTGTCTTGGAGTGGGCCTCTTTGCATTCATCTTGTTTGGGATTTTCTGTGCTTCCTGGATTTCCATGTCTATTTTCTTCACGTTTGGGAAGTTTTATGTCATTTTTTTCCCAAATATTTTCAGTTTCTTGCTGTCTCTACACCTTCCCAGCACACCTATGTTATGAATGTTGGTGTACTTGAAGTTGTCCCAGAGGCTCCTTACACTATCCTCATTTTTGGGATTCTTTTTTTTCTGCTGCTGTTCTGATTGTGTGTTTTCTGCTTACTTATCTTCCCAATGTCTGATTTGATTTTTGATTTTATCTAATTCACTTTTGATACTCTATAATGTATTCTTCATTTCAGTTAATATAGTCTTCATTTGTGGCTTGGTATTTTTTAATGTTTTGTAGTTCTGCTTTTATGTTTCCTATCTCTTTTTTGAAGTTCATGCTAAGTTCATTTACTCTTCCCCTAAATTCATTGAGCATCCTTATAACCAGTGTTGTAACTTTGCTGCATCTAGTATATTGCTTGTCTCCATTTCGTTTAGTTTTTTTCTGGAGTTTTTTTTCTCTTCTTTTATTTAGGACATATTTCTTTGTCTCCTCCTTTTGGCAGTCTCCTTGTTTTTGTTTTTATGTATTAGGTATTGCTGCTATATATCCCAGGCTTTGTAGAGTGGCCTTATGTAGTATGTATTCTTTAGGATCCGGTGGCATAGCCTCTGCAATCACTCAAGCTGGGCACTTGAGATGTATCCCCAGTGTGGGTTGTGTATACCTTCCTCCTATAGTTGAGCCTTTATTGCTGTTGGCACATCAGTGGGAGAGATTTACCCCTGACCTAATGAGCTGCAAAGAAAGGCAGCAACCACCAACCTCCTATCATCATGGACGATTAGCTCTGCAGGGACCAACTCCACAGAGCTGGTCTTACTTCATTAGGTTTCTGGTGCCCACTGCGTCTGCTCCTTGAGTGTATTGATTATGAGGTAGTTAGATGGTGATTCTTCATTGTAGTTGGAAGCCGTCCACTGGGTACACTGGCTGTGGGAGCTCCTGGAGGGTGCAGGCCAAGGTTTTCCCCTGGCTGTGGTTCTGCCTAGGCCATGTAGCATGAGCTACAAAGCAATCTGCAGATTGCTGCTTTTTGTGCTGGGCTTGGAGGTGCCCAGGGAAGGTCAGGCTGTGAACCAAGGTTGGCTGATGACAGTGGCAGGCTTGAGGCCACTTAACTAGAAGTACAGGTCATGCTAAGGCCTGCTGCTTGTGTGAGAGATTTTAGGAAAACCTGAAGATGAGCCATGGCAGGCCATTTGTATGCAAAAGCCACTGGAAATAGCTTGGGTGGATCTGAAAGCTGGGTGGGAGGGTATCTCAGGGAATCATCAGGTTGAGCCAGGTTGATGGAGTCTGAGATATAACATCCACTTGCCAGCTCTGCGTGGGGAGGGCTCAGAAAAGGAACAGTGTCGCATCAGCCTCTGCCAGCACTTCTGTATGGGAGAGAGCGGCCCCTCCAGCTGTTATCCTGATGCCAGACACTTTCCTCCTCTATGTCTTTGGTACCTTTAAAGCTGCTGCCCCAGCTCTGGAGCTCAGAGGGATTAATTCCAAGTAAGTCTGAGTGAGGGCCCTTAAGAGGAACTGTCTGGGACTCTAGCAACCCCCTGTCTCCCTCAGTTTCAGTTCCCGCTGTTTTTCAGCCAGAAGTTATGGGGACTTGTCTTCCCGGAAGACAAGTCTGGAACCCTGGGCCGGGTGGCTTGGTGTGGGGTTGGACCCCCTGTCTCCTCAGTGGTGACCTCTACAACCAAAATCTCCTGATTTTTATTGGCCACACATGGTTGTGGGACCAGTGTAGTCAACACCTGCCCTTCCTACAACTGTGGATGTGGCTTCTTCTCTAATTCCACAGTTGTGGGACTTTCTTTATGCCAGATTTCAAGTGTTTCTGAATGATGGTTGTTCTGTAGTTTAGTTGTAATTTTGATGTGGTTGTGGGAGGAGGTGAGCACCACATTTATCTACCCTGCCATTTTGACTGGAAGCCTCATAGTAAAACTCTTATACACTGAGTAATCTTTTTTTTGAGTTTAGCCATTCTTCATAGAGCTATTGTTATTGTCCCTTATCCTAAATTGTTAATTGCATATCTTTTAAAGAAACGTCTCTCTTTTGTGTGTTTGTTACAATTTTGCCCAGACACCAGTAGCTAAATTTGGCATGATGTTATAATTTATGAATTTTTTGAGGGAATATAATGTATAGACAGAGCTTTTATTTATTTATTTTGTCTGTGCTATTTGGCTTTTCCTTTTTTTTCAAGTAGATGATGTTAAAATTTTGGATTAGTTGAGAATATATAACTTAATGGAATAATTTACCTAGAAATGTTTGGTCCCATAATTTTGTTTCTTCTGGAAAGGATTGCAGAACTTTTACATTACTTTTGTTAAGGATAATTGAAACCTTACCAGTATATTAGGGATATTTCAACAGTAATACTATTTTGTAGTTTTAAAATGCACTAAATCCTTTTAAAATGGTATATGGAGTTTGTATTCTCTCTTATTTCTTTAGCATTTTAGGTCTTTGGCCTTTGGGGCCAAGCTATATTTATATCATGGATGGATGGATATTAGTTTATTTATGAGGAAGGTAGTTTAATTTCTACTTGCTAAAGTTTTTTTTCTATTTCTTTTTTAATAGTTGTGTTGACTTCGACTTGAATGTAAACAATATTGTTGGAATAAGAAACACATTCCTTCTTAGAACTTATGCATACCGTAAGTTTAGTTTCCAAATAATTATCAGCTTTTCTGTTTATTCATCATTCTTTCTTCCTTTTTAAAGATATTTGTACTCAGTGTTGACATCTCTTTGATTTTGTTTATATATAATATCTTATTTTTTTATATGTAAAATGTGTTGCTTCACTAAAATATATACTACCAGAGTTATAGGTCAATAAAATGAATTTTAATAACTAGCAATTTTTTAAAAGGTAACTAAGGTATGCTTTAGAAATAAGTCATTTATGGTGAACACTTGAATACACAAGCAGTGCTCTTTTTATTGGCATGTAGTTGAGAAATGATGTAAACTTTCAAAGAAACTGCACTGTCTTCTTACCATTTTTAAGTTTTAATTTTACTTTCAGTTGAAAATCGAGTTCGTCCGTTAGTACTGGTGATTAAGAAGTGGGCAAGTCACCATGAGATAAATGATGCCAGTCGTGGTACTTTAAGCAGCTATAGTCTTGTATTGATGGTTTTGCACTATTTACAAAGTAAGTATTATGAGTTTTCTCCAATTTTTAAAATGGAAATGCAGTTAAACTTTATTATGTTGTCTTCCCTATTGACCTTACCTTCAAATAGCATTGTTCTAAAAATTTCATTTTAAGGCCCATTAGACCTTATTTTCTACTTTGTTGCTTTAAGAAATGTTTTAGAAATGTTATTTCCTGGAAAGCATTTAAAAGAAGTTCCACTGTGGGGTTTTTTTTCATGACCTTTTTCTATGTTCACTTTTATATTCAAAGAACTTTCACCACTGTATTATGGAACCATTTTCTTGAGGCAGATGTATGTACAGAAGACCTATAAAAATAAGCTCACGTACTATTTCTCATGTTTTTATTTTTTACTTGGAACAGGATTTAAATGATTTTCTTGTTGGTCAAAGAAGCTTTTATTCCCTTTGAGCTAACATGGAGATAGGGTGAAAATCTTGATGTTAATGTAATAGGAGACCATTTACCAGGATGTCTAGGATCTGAGATGTTCTGGATTTAATGATATTGCCACATTTTAGAAAGTGATGTTGTAATATATTTATATCCTTTGACTCAGTGGTTCCATTTAGAAGAACTTATTATAAGGTAGTAATCAGGAGCGCTTAATTGGATTTATTTATGAGGCTGTTTTACATAATGTTTGTTGAAATAGTAAAAGATTAGAAATAACCCTAAAGTTTTTAGGAATGAGGGATGGTTAAAATAATTAGAGTATACCACAATGTGAAATTTACACAGCCTCAAAAATCATGTTTTTCAGATGTTTAATGATACATAAAAATATTCAAGATATTTGAGTTTGTGTATATATTCTTATGTGTAACAAATAATGTACCAGAAATTTATTGGGTTATTTATGGACAGTAGGATTTTTTTTTTTATTTGAATGATGAAATCAGATGATTATTTTTGAGTAGGTAAGAGACACTTAACATAGGTAAATGGGTCAGAGTTTTATGAATCAGTCATCAGAAAGTTTAATCTTTTTGTGGCCACAAAATTTCAAGCTAAGTATAATATATATTTCTTTATCGATGACCAGGCTTAGATACATATTAGATGTTTGATTTGCTCTTCTAAAAGGATTTGAAACATGATATTGGCTGTTTTAGATACTACTCTATATGTCACTAATCATTTTTTGTTCACTTGTGCAGTCCAGTCTGAAACATGGATTACTTTTGATGCTTTTTTAGTGAACTTTGTCCAGTTCACATTTATTAAAAATTGAACAGATTAGAAATATTTTTTATAAAATATAAAGAATAACATGATAAAACTTTATGTACTGCCACCTACTATCCATAATTTTTTAGTTTTAATTGTGATTTAAAAATTAAATTTGACTAAAACATTTAATATGCATGAGCATCCATATGTACCCTATTTCTCCATTCTTAATTCATTATACTAGAAATTTTAATATGATTGCCTTTCTTTAGAAAGATATACTTTGATCTCAGATACCCCAAGGTCTGGTTTTCACAACAAATGGGGGAAGTACTGTCAAGGAACATATACAAAGGACACATAGGCAAAGTCAAAGGGGGTAGGTTCGAGGGTGGGGGGGCGAGGATGGGTGGGTGGCGGTTCGTAGTAGGGTGAAAATAGAGACGAATGTACTTGAATTATAAATAAAAATTCAAATATTAGTATCTTATTGGTTTAATGAAATTATGTTAGCATTTGGTTTAGATTTTTGTTACACATTTTATTTTTGATAGAGTGGTCCCATTTACTGAGTTGGCTTGTAATTATTGGCACTGTTATCAAGCATTTCTAGGTCTTTGTTAAAGGATGTCACCAACTGTGTACTTTGGCAAATTTAAGCCACTCCTCCCTAGGAGAAATTAGAGAGATTGAAATAAGTAGTTGCTTTTTTTGTCATACAGGAGTCTGCAGGGTGTATTGAACAGTTTCAGGTTTACCATAATGAGCTGGTGTTGTTGATTTTGGTCAGGTTATTCTCTCTGTCTAGCCCTAATATTCTCATTGATAACAGGAACAGTGGGATTAGATGCCCTTTAAGTTTTGTTTAATTTCATAAATACTTTAATATATTGTTTGCCATGAAAAGAGAAAGGAAACAGGTCCTTTGCATGTGGAAAGATTAAAAAGATTAAAATATTTCCTGAATTTCACCAGTCAATAGTAGACTACATACATAGGAGTAAAGTACACTTGAAAAACCACTAACTGCTTTGAGGTTGCTGTCAGGGTAGTGTTAGTAAATAACTGCCAAAGTACACTCACTGCTTCTTTAATGACTGGTGTTTTTAAATTGTTAATGTTTGTCAGGCAGGATTTACTGAATGATAGACCTGTCCCCAGAGCTTCCGAATTGCTTAGTTCTATTCTATCCTAAAGGCTCTTTGTCTATTAAAAGACCTTAAACCTGTGGTTAGTGTTTGTATTACTCTCCTAGAATTCTGATTATAATTCTAGAATCTAGAATGAGACAGACTTTCAAAAATATTCTCTGTAACTTTCATTCTCTTATAAATTATAATGTTATTAGGAGTATTCAGTAGGAAAGAAACTCATGTTTTTAAGTAAACTAGTTTCTAATAAAATTTTCCAATTTCTATATTGTAACAAAAATTATTAGAAAGCCATTAAAAATGTTATACAAATATGGAGACTTTTAGAATTAAAGTGGCTAGGGCTTGAGTTTATTTGTAGGGTCTTCTAGAATGCCTCTTGGGGAAACAAATGTATCATTATTGTCTGGGAGTTATTCTGGTAAGTAATGAGTGAAATTTCTCCTCTAATAGTCTTAGTCATACAGTGTGAACATTCCCTACTATCATGGTATTTTATTTTATTCTAATTTGCAACTTGGGAATGAAGCATGATATAGGAGAGAAATTTAAATAGTATGTGGTAGAAGTTTATATGTTTATAATCATAATTGGAGATCATGTAAGTTTGTCATAATGGTTGATTATATATATGTGTTTATATTCCAGAAGTCAGTTTAAAATGTTTTTTCTAATTAGCCAGTTAAAAATAAGTTAAAGATTATTATTGAGTTTATTTAATTATATACAATGTTTTTCTAATTTTTAAATTATCATAGTTTATTATATGGTACTACATTGGTCTTTAATCTTAAAGAAATCTTGAAAATGCATTGTTTATATCTTAACGTAATTATTACATATTATTTATTATATTGTGGGTATTGGGTACTTGGCCTTTAATGTCACTTACTGTATAATGGTGTGAAGTTACTGTTAATGCATTTACTGAGGTTGGATTTGGGTAAAGCTATTGAAGGAGGAAGAATTACAATTAAAAACAGAGCAACATATGAAGATAATTATTCCTTTGTATGAAATTTTATTTTATAGAAGATTAGTTAAAATCTCCTGATTTAGATTTCTAAAATTTGCTGAGGCCTTCTTTTTAAAAATAAACAATGACGTTAAAACTTTTTTCAGGTTTTTTTTCCTTCAGTAGGTCAGTTTCCAGAAACTGTCTTAATTTTAGTGTTGTTGTTTGTTAGAGAAAAATTAAATAATAAAGACAGAATTGTGATAGAACCATTGTGGGTTGTATCTTTGGACCATACTTAAAAAGCTTTTTTGGTAGTTATATTCATCTTTGCAATGTCCATTCAATATCTGTAGAACAATCCTTGTCTTGTTATTTTGTGCGTGTGTCTGATGTTGGACCAAATGATGTGTGTCTACTTATTGAGGGCCTATTATTTTAAAACCATGTAAGGAACATTGGTTTACATAAAATACATAGATTATTAACAAACTTTAAATTGTCAACTTAGATATATTCTGAATAGAAATTTTTAGCGATTAGAATTAACCTCATGAAATATATGGAAACTGTTGACTTTTAGCAGAAACCCTTGTAGTTTTATACCTGAGGGTCTTAGGTGACAAATTATTGCTTTGTAAAATGAATTACATGAATCACAGAAGCTTTAAACTTTTTTTTTTATAGCCCTACCTGAACCCATCCTTCCATCCATCCAAAAAATTTACCCAGTAAGTGTTTCTTATAAATTATTATAATACATATTATGACAAGTATATGTGGGACTATTATATGTAGTATTAATGTGAATACGAAAGTAGTAATAGTTATATAACTTTCTAAGTAGAGGCATTGGCAAGTAGGACATTAAAAATGTTTCATATACTTTATCAAAAGACTCTGATTTTTCTTTGGTTATTGGCAGACAATCTGGCCATTTTGGTTAATGGAGTTTTTTGCATGATACTCATGATTATCACCAAAGGGAATGAAATGAGTCCTGTTTGGACTCATTTCAGTTTTCTTTGTGCTATTTTAAAATACAGTTTTATAGCATTCCTTTAGTTAATGCAGAAGTTTTTCAGTCCAGTGTATGTATAATTTGAAAGCAGGAGAAAAAATTAAGACATTGAAACATTGGATAATCATGGTATCTTTTATTTGATCTTATTAAGTAATACAGCAAAAGAGGTAACATTAGTATTCTCTCCTTATGTGCATAATATTAAGAATCCTGCTGAAGCTGTTTGGAAATCCTAAAGAAATAAAGTGTACCTACTAGTAAAAGTTTAGTATGTACTCAGTTTGAGTTTAGAAAAACATAGGTAATGTACATGTTCACAATAAATATGAATACTTTTGTTTCTTCTTCAGTTTTTTGTGTTTTCTCCAGAATTCTGTTTTCTTATTTTATAGTCCTATCATTTTTTGTTTTCCTCCATAGTCATTTTTGTTCCTGGTTTTAATTTGGAAATAATATTTAAGCTACTTATTTTGAATGTTTGACCAACCATCTTAAAACCACATAATTTTTGCCTGTAGTTTCATAAACTTACTAAATGGTCATATTACAAAGAAAAGCATAGTATCTAGCTTGAGTGATCAGTATTCAAGAGCTTGTTTATTTTGTATGTATCACAAAATACAATACATATACTTGACATGGAACCTAAATTAAATATAATTTAACCTTTGATAATTTAGAAGAAGTGATGTTCTTGTTTTTTGAATATCAATTATTGTAATACATACATGGAAGGTGCTGGATAATTAAGGGTTTACTGTAATAGAGTTTTGCTGTAGTGAGGACCTCCCACTTTGTGGTGGGTCATTTAGTAGAAGATACCATATATAATAATAACCTTTTGGGATTCGGGTATCTAATATTTCTCCTTTTAAAACTATTATGAGGAATCATTATAATGATTTTCCAGTATTACTAATGAACCAATATTTATGCTTTTAAACATGAAAAATGGAAGCATTAGAAAGTATAGAATTAAAAGTAACTTGAATTTGTGGGTTTTATTCTTGAATGGTTTTCTCCCTCGATGAAGTATTGATTCTTTGGCTGATATTGAAAGGTCAAAGATAATGACTGGGTGTTTACTATTTTATTCTGTTGTCCCAACTTGATTTTTCCTTTAAGTCCTTGGTTTCAGTATAGAAAGAGCTGCATGTATTTTTCAGCATACAAAGGATCTAATAAACTTACTTTTTAATGAATCTATTATTGTATGTTAAATAAAATGCTTCTGTAGAAATCTTACTTAAAGCCAGTGCTATGTGAAACACTTTTTAGTAATACAAAATACAGATGAATTCTCAGTTTAAGGCACTATGATCAGGAACAGAGATAATGCTTTCTAAAGACACCCAGGCTCTTACTACTACTGTATTCTAGTTCGAAGAGCCTTATTTCTACTTCTGTGGTTTTTTCCTAATTATTTAGTTTCTCCCCATGAGTCCTGACTTCTCTTAGCATACACTGCCTCTTACCCCACATTTTCCAACACTGTGTTGGTAATTTTATTTCTTACTTGAAACAGACTTTAATACTAGCCCAGCCCCAAGGCCTTAAATACACTAGTAGCAAGACCATCTAGATTTAAGAGTGTCTTAATTTACTTTCATTTGTGTTTACATTGCCATACTACCTAAAGCACAGTATTTTAAATATATGATTGATGCTTACATGGATAAAGAATTACTACTCTCTCTTAACAAGATTTTTTGTTTTATCTGATACCTTTCCCAGTGGTCCATCTGATGGAACAAGGAAATGGGCTTGTTACTACTACTAACTGTTATTTAGTATCTATTTTTTTGTCAGCACATTGTAAATGTTATACACAGTATCTTTAATTCTAAGTAAATAAGCTTGTAAGGTAGGATCCTTGTTTCATAGATGAAACTTAAAAAGATTACATGATTGATCTAAACTTTAGTCATAAATTACACATTCAGAAACCAGGATTTTTTCCATTATACTGTACTGTCTGAGGAAAGGCAAAATGATAGTAGTATTCACTAAAATATCTTTTTATCTAATTTCTATTGCTTATTACATTTTATTTGTGTATATCTGATTATTCCTATGTAGAAAAGCAGATATGACAGAATTTCAGCTTGTGTAAATGTTCGAGAATGACTTAAACTTTAACAAGAAAAACTTTTGTTACTTTACAAGAGAACAAGGTTCTTTTAAATTTTGAACTCTAACATAGATAAGATAAATTTTTTTAAAAAGACAAATTTTGGAATGGAATAAAATTTGTTAAACATATTATGCCCTTTTTAGTACTTTACATTATTTTCTCAAAGTTAACAAAATATTTGAAAAATTGGTATAATATTTCAATTTAGTTATAATACTAAATTATGAAAGAAAAGATAAATATATACCTTTACCTGCAAAAGCTATATAGTATAGCATTATTGATTATTACTGCTTAATTCTTAAAACAATGAAAATGATAAGAGTATTTGCTGTTGAGTTAAAGCAGTGAAGTTGAGCTGGCTTAAATATGTAAACTCACATTGAGCTTAGGAAGAGGTCATTTGACTGCAAGTGTATTATTATGAGGATTTCCCTAGATTTATTCTGGATAGATTTATCGAGACAACTTATGTTTGTTTCTTTTCCTAATAGTATCTTCATATTTCAGAGAAGTGTTTATGTTAACAGAATAGAGATGTAAGAAAATAACCCCTTTTTTTATAGTTGTAAAATAAAAAATTTTGAGAATGTGGAGTTTCTCCATGCAGTTATATATTGAAAATGTGTTAAGTTTTACATGTCTACATATATACACATACATATAGCAACTTTTTTCAGTTTTTAAAAAAATATGTTTATTATTATTATTTAATCCTCATCTGAAGATATGTTTATTGATTTTAGAAAGAGAGGAAGACAGAGGAAAGAGGGAGAAATACATCGATGTGAGAAATTTCGTTTGGTTGCCTCTTGTACGAGCCCCTACTGGGAACTGAACCCACAATCTTTTGGTGTGTAGGATGCCAATCCACCCAACTGAGCCACCTAGCCAGGGCAGCTTCTTTCAGTTTTAAAATGAGTGTAATATGGGGGGTGTAATTAGTTATATAAAACAAGCTTTAACCGAATACCTTTGAAAAGACAAATTAAAAAATCTTGGTGAAGATTTATTTTTTAAATTGGCAATAAAATCATTATTTTAAAGTTGATATTACTTACATTTTAAAAGTCATAAGGAAGTTAATTTTGTAATAATACATTATGAATTTCAGCATGTGATCATACTGTATTATTATATAAATGTACAGTTATAATACCCATTATACCCTAAATAATGAATATTTAGGTAATACTGTTGCTGCTATGCTTTACATACATTATATCACTTAATCCTATAACAACCCTATGAGTACTACTATTTTCTTCATATTATAGATGAAGAAGCTGAACATTTGCAAAGCTAGGTCATTTCATATCACTAATAGAAGAGCAGAGTTTCAAACCTAGGTCATCTGACTTCAAAGCTTACACTCTTAACCACCTTATTATAGCACTTACACTTTAACATTGGTTTCAAACTAAAAATCTCACTAAAATCTTATGTAATTTAAAGGAAATTTAGTGAGCAGTCTTCAGCACACATCACCAGATTGGTGGCAATCTGTATACAATTAAGAAAACTTGGTAGAAGTTCAGTATATTACTTTGTTCTTTATTCAGATAAAACTGTACTTAAGTATTCCATATCAGTTATCTTTTAATTTTTGACCTTCCTCAACATTTATTTCTAGTATCTAATGTTTCAAATTGTTAGAAAACTATGCAACTTAAATTCTTTGTTTGCCTGGAGATAGAAAACAGTCATTTTTTATTTAAGCTATACATTGTTTTAAGGAACAGCTACCAAGTAAAAGTTTAGCCAGTCTAATTTATTTCATAAAGTGCTTAATTATCAAGATTTCAAATTTGGAAGGTGAAGATATTATGGCACAGCCTCAGAAAAATGATGGAATATTGCAAAAGATGTTTTTGCCGTTTTTGGTAGGCAGTTGTATTGACCAAACAGTGAAATTTTTCAGATGTTTTTCAAGGTATTGCCTTTAAATTTTTTTTTTACCTTACCATTGGTTGAAGAGAAATGGAAAATACCTTAGAAATACCAGCATTTAAATATTAGTTGGAATTGAGTCAATGTCCATTTGGTTATTAAAAGGCCAAAATAAAATACAACCTTAAAAAGTAATAAAAGTGTCTTTCCAATTAAAAAAGAACAAAACAAAACAAAAACGTCATTATATTTAAAAAAATGAAATGGTGGTAAATATCAGTAATCTAAAAAAAAGGCTTTTAAAAATAGATGTTATATTGTATCAGTTGAATTGTTTTTCCATGATTTTAGGTTGTTATTTAAGGTTCTTTATGTGCTTCCAAACATGTTAGCTTAAGTTCTACCTATCCCCACCCTTTCCAAAGTAGCATATACTGTTCTTAAATACGTCAGTGCAATGTGGGAGATCCCTTTTGAAAACAAACCTTTCATGAAATTTTTCTTAAAGCAGAGAATCTTTCTGTGATGTGAACCAAGGTTAAATGGATTTTTTAAGGTTAAGTGGAATTCCGATTTACCTGTAGCAGCTTTTGGCATTCATTCATTCATTTATTCATATTCCTCCTTTAGTTCTACCTCAGTATGTAAACATGGCCCTGTTTGTATGCAACTGTGAAAAAGAACAGTGGCGCTAAGAGGATACTGGCCAAATTGGTCCAGGGTCATTCAAACCTTTTAGTAGAATAGGTTTCATCTTCAGTTTTAATGTCACAGTTGCTGATATTTTTCTTTAAATTATTGAACAAAGTAAAAATTTTAAAGGAGGTTCAAATAGTTTTAAACTTTAGGTAAGAAAATAACTTCTATTTCAATATCAATTTATAAATTGTATGCTTACTATGCCAGGTGCTAGAAATCAAAATTAGTAAGAAGCTTTCAGAGCAAAAGCTCTTAAATAGTGACCCACCTTTCTTTTCCATGTCATTTGAACTTGTTCTGTCTTTTTCTTTAATTTGCCAGAAAACAGTATTTAAATTAAAAAATTTTAAATAATATCGTAAGTCCAATTTTACACTTGACAAGGAAGAGACAAAAGGTAGTAGAGTCAGTGTACCTGCTCTACGTTTTGCTTTTACTCTTTTTTATAAATTGAAGCTTCTTTCCTACTCTTCCTAGTCTAAGAAACAATTAAGATACATGTTTGTAACATTAAGTCTATTAAAAGTGGAAGGAGAAGTCTCAAGTTTAGGAGTGCCAGCTTTAACAGTTGTGGTTGGAGTAGAATTTTTCTTCTGAGGGAAATCACTTCCTGGTAGTTAAAAATTATTGATAGCATTATAGATAACGGAGCAGAGAAAGCTTGGTTTTTAAAAAACTTTTCTTGCTCTTTTGCTTTTTACTGATGATTTGTAAGGGCTACTATTGAGTAGGTGCTATACCCTATTTCTCTGTATTACAACATAGTCACAATATTCAGACATTACTTACTGATTGAATTGATATAAGTAAACCCAAGATTGATTTGTTAGAGTTGGGAACCATAAGTGTAGTTGTCATTCTGTTGCCTTAACCAATTGCAGTAAAAATTTTTTTTTACTCTGTTGGCAAAGGGAAATATAGAAAACTCTTCTTTTTAATTTTAATTTTAAAAAATCCTTATTGTATTTCTTTTTCATTATCATTTAGTCCTCTTGTATCCCACCTCCCCCCAGCAATCACTACACTGTTGTCCATGACCACAAGTCCTTTTTTCTTTTTGATTAATTCCTCCACCCACTAACCTCCCCTCTCACTTAGCTGTCATTCTGCTCTCCATCTATGAGTCTGTTTCCATTTTCCTTGTTAGTGCAATTTGTTCATTAGATTTTACACATGAATAAAATCATATGGTATTTGACTTTCTCTGACTGGCTTATTTCACTTAGTATAATGTTCTCTAGGTCCATCCATACTGTCTTAAAGGGTAAAATTTTCTTTTCTTGTTTTTTTTTTTTTACGGCCTCATAGTATTTGTACCACTGTGTAAATGTAGATGGATGCAGCCACTGTGGAAAGCAGTATGGAGATACCTCAAAAAATTAAAAATGGATCTGCCTTTTGACCCAGCAATCCCACTTCTGGGAATATATCCAAAGGAACCCAGAACACTAATTTAAGAGAGCATAAGCACCCCTGTGTTCATTGCAGTGTTATTTACAATCGCCAGGATAATGGAAGCAGCCATCAATAGATGAGTGAATGAAATATCTATGGGACATTTAGAAAACCCCTCTGGAGGTCACTGTACAAGTTACCTTAAAGAAATTATTTTCTAACATAGAGTATATGTATTACTTGAAGCTCTATAGTTCATTTAGTGGATTTTAGATCCAGAACTTGGTGCTACTAGAGTAAATATTAAATATGAAAATTAATGGCATACCATAGGCAAGAAGAAGAAGTAGCCATTAGTATTCTTTCTTAAAAGTATATTGTTTGGTCCCAGATTGCAAGCAAATGACAACTTCCTTTATGAATATAATAGTAAAAAGTTGTTGAATATTACTTACTGATATATTTCCTGTCCATCTTCTCTTCCCTGCCCTCTTTGTCTTTTCAAGTTCAGTTGGACATCTGTCTTCTCTTTCCTCCTAGATACAAAATACAAAAACAAAATAAAACAAAAACAATTTAAAATTAGTATGAGTATTACTCATATATTAACATTATTTTTATGGCTTTTGAGAGAAATTTTAACTGGCAGAACTCTTACCTTGTGCTTAATACAGCTTTCATAAAATACGACTGCTCTTTGTAAAAATAATTTAAGAATGAGATACATTTGTAAAGAAACTTATGTGTTATTGGGTGGAATTTTAGAATGTACAGTAAGGTTTTTATTTATGAGTTAGAAAATCTTTTGCTACCATATGGATCCATTGGTTGCTATATCTCAGCCAAGGATTAAAATATCTTAGTTTTTCAACTTTCTAGCCTACTCCAAACACTGGTGAAATCTGTAAGTGTAAGAAAGTCTTCAAATTTCCAAATTGCAGACGTGTAAAAAAAAAAGTCTTTTCTCTTCTTCAGAGACCTTTAGATCAAGATTTATAAAGTTGTCAATGGGTGTTTTAAATGACTTTACATTCCTCCCCCCCTTTTTTTCCCGACAGGAATCTTTCAGTCCCACTATACAGCTGCACCTTGTACATCAGGTTCCAAGTGATGTTCCTCCTTACCTCTCAAAGAATGACTCAACTCTTGGGGACCTCTTACTGGGCTTTCTTAAATATTATGCTACAGAATTTGAGTAAGTGAAACCATAAATTGGTTATTTATTTACATATCAGTGAATGCTACAGATTTGGTCAAGAAGTTGTATTTGTCAATTTCAGTACTGTAAACTTGCCCAGAAATGTGTAGTTTATAAAATTTAATACCTAATGATTAGTAAACTAAGTAGATATAATATTTCTACCTAATAAAAAATTATAGTCTAGAAAGTCCAGTTCTGTTGATTTTAGTAGTGATCCCATTTTATGTTTAGCTGTCTCTTCTCATGGTAGGGCCTGAATAAATGTGTCGATGCTATGTAGATACTACATAGTTTGGAACATCTATTTTTTAGATACTTAAACTTTGTAAAAAAAAACACAGCCAAAGAAACACTTGGAAAAAGATTTACTTAATACCTGATATCTGAATTAAATGGTTGTATTATATGATATATAAATCAAAGAATACTTTTCCTTTTTTTGAGGGTGACAGGTGAATATGAAAGATTAAAGTATATCATGAGACTGGACCTAGCTGAAAGTTCTTAGTTCATAGAGTGGGCAGCTCTTGTGATCAATTTAGAAAAGCTTGAAGGAGGAAGGAGAAAGGACAGGAATTCTCTAAATTTAGAGGAGTAGGGTACTGTAACCACAGGGTCCTACTTTGAAGAGGTTTGGAGAGAGGCTAATAATAGTAATAGTAATGAATTGCTATTACTAGGTAGGAAAAAGTGTTCTAAAAAGATTATACGTATTTCATTCAGTTTACATAATAACCATGTAAGACAATTAAGCCCATTTTACCAGTGAGGCATATAGAGAGGTTAAGAAACTTGCCCTAAAATCACACAGCTTGTAAGGGGAGTATTTCAGATAGTTTTGACTGCAAAATTCACACTCTCTAACTATGATACTTTATTGCATTGTTGATATTGCAGTAAATATCTGCTATGATGCAGTAGCACTAAAGAAAAATGACTTATATAAGATGATTTGAAACATAAGGCATGAAACATGACATGTTATTTAAATTTCTCAAAGCTTATAAGCAGACTGTGCCTGTTTAGTTTACAGTCGCGTCTCCAGTACCTAGCTAGCCTAGTGCCAAATAATGGGTACTTGACAAATACTTGTTATAAATAAATAATTTTAAAGCAGGAAGTCCAATTATGGGCATGTTCCAAAGATTCTTAGGTTGACTAAAATTAGATTAAGAAAAGGAGTAGGAAAAGAGCTGGAGAAAAGTAGTTCTGTAAGAATGAAGTTATAATAGTCCAGGTTAAAAATGACCTAAATATAAGTTCAGGCAACAAGGATAAAAAGGCAGGAGCCTTTAATTATATAAAGATGAGGAAAGATCTGAGACTATATCAAACATGGAATGTAAGAAACTGTAAAGGTTATTCTAGAGTTCAGATATTGCAATAACCAAAAGTAATGTTTAGTGAGTATTTCTTTATCTAGTGTTCTTAGAGTAGGCTGAATTTCCATGTATTATATTATATTATGTCACCCTGTCAAGCTTAGGGAATTTGTGTACTTGAAACTTGTGCATGGCAATACAGCAGATACTGAGACCTGGGATGCAAGTTCAGGTCTGGCCACATACAAAACTACAATTTAAATTGTCAGGCCATATTAACATCATCTATTGTGTCATATGAATTAGGAATTGGGAGAAATTTGTGTATAGAGAAAAGGATTCATAGGAGAAAGTTAGAGTTTTGCCATGTATAGTTTAAGATTAGAGCACCTACATACAAATGCCGCAAAAACCACTGCTTTGTTGGACTGAAAGGAGATGGTAGACGTGCAGGCTTGTGTGTTGTAGCAGGAACTAGCTTGCTGTGCCAAATGATACTGGCTAGGCTGCTGACACTTGAAAGAGGTTTTGAACTTTTCTATACACTTGTTATCTCTCTGATACATGATTTAGGAGCCATCTTCTCCTCTTTCATCTTACAGTGCATTTGTAAAGTGCATTTGTCAAGTGCATTATTGTTTCATACCAGATATTTTCAGAAATTTGACTGTAGGAAGCAGAGCCAAGAATGTAGTCATGGTAATGAACTAAGTGCCGTGCAAAATTCTGACAGCCGTTAGAAATGTTTGTAAGAATTTCTTCTGAACTTTGAAATATTCAATTAAAAAATTCGGTATACTTGAAGACATGATTAAGTACCTTTAAGTGATGCTTGTGTATACAGTATAAATGTTGCAGACATTTTATGTGGTCATTTAAAAATTACTAAGAATTTCTTACCTACTTCACTCACAGCCTTCTAATTCTTGCTGCTGAAAATTCTCACAAGTCAGGCTTCTAACACTGTACCTGGGAACAGGGAACTGAAAAAATGGAGGGGAGAGGGAGGGGGAGAAATCAGGTAACTCAGGGAGTCTCATGGGAAAGAAAATACAGTCAGAATGTAATAATTTTCTATTTTAGCAAAACAAATATATTTAAGTTCTAAATATTACAGACTCATAGATACTAGAGAGTTTGTGAACCTTAAGAAATACCTGTTTTATAATCTTCGGTATTTCCTGGATGCCTAATCACATGTCATTATTGCTAGTCTATCTGTTGAATTAAAAAGATATACCTACTTAAAACATCTGCAATCTTTTTAGAGACTTTTTAAAACTTTTATTTATTTTTTAGAGAGAGGAAGGGAGGGAGAATGGGAGGGAGAGGAACATTAGTGTGAGAAACATCAATCAGTTGCCTCTTGTACCTCAGCTGGGGACTGAACCCTCAACCTAGGCATGTGCCCTGAATCAAACTGGCAACCTTTTGCTTTTGCAGGATGATGTCCAACCAACTAAGCCATACTGGTCAGGGCAACACATGCATTTTTTAATAAGGAGCATTACAGAGGCCCAAGTTTTGAATCCTGTTTTGTTGTTGTTGTTCTCCTTTTTTTCCTCTCATTTAATCAGTAAGTCATTGATTGCCTACTGTATACCAAGCTGTTTTTTATGTACTGGGGATTTATTATAGCAATTAACAAAACAGGCATGAAGACAGATGATGACTCAAAACAGGCATGAATTCTTGTGTTTATGGAGCTGACACTGTAGCGTGGAGAGGCATTTGAGTTACTGTTAATTTCTAGAGCTATTGTTAATTTCTACATGTTATTATAAAGGAGAAAATGGTCTTATTCTTAAGAGATAAGTGCCAAAGGACAAAGACATGAAGTTTTGTGATATCTACAGCTTAATAGATGGTTCAGTTTAAAACGTACATATACACAAACAAGTAAATGTGGCAAAATGTTAACTGTTGAATCGTTTTCGAATTTTAGGCTTTTCAGTTTTTCTCTTTGAAAATTTCATAATACAAAGATGAAGTACAAATGAGATTAGAGATGAGAAGGAACTAATATATAATCTAAAAAGGAAGAATCATTGAGGTAGGAGGTAAGCCAATAGAATGTAGTGTCTTGAAATCCAAGGGAAGAAAATGTTTTGAGGAGAAGGGATTGATTATCTGTATCACATTTTTTGATAGATCAAGTAAGTATAAAATGATAACTAAAAGCTGATCATTGGACATTGGTTCATGTGGAGACCCCTCATGGGCCTTTGGCAGGAGCAGTTTCTGTGGAATAATGGGGATAAAAAGCGTCATTGCTACGGGTTTAAGACAGAACAGAAGGAGAATTAGCTACAGATAGATTAGTGTATATACACTCTAGAGGAATTTACATACTTGTAAAGGGGAGCAGAAAAATGGAATAGAAGTTGAACGGTTAAGTGGAGTTGAGTTTTTGGTTTTGTTTTTAGAAATAAATAACCCATCTTGATATCAAAATTGATGATAGCAGGAAAAGACATAGTAAATTGTTAAACAATATACTTACTTGTTTGAGTCCATTGGAGTTGGAATCACCCTGGTTGGGTTGCTCAGTGAGATGGAGTGTCCTCTAGTACAGTCAGGACACATACCTAAGTTGCAGGGTTGCAGGTTTGATCCCAGTTGGGGTGAATATGAGAGGGAACCAGTCGACATTTTTCTCTCAAATCTCATCAATTTCACATTGATGTCTCTCTGCCTCCCCCCCCCCGCCCTCTTTCTCTAAAATCAGTAAAACATATTTTTGGGTGAATAATTTTAAAAAAAGACTTGAAATCTAGAACACAAGTGGAATAGGAGCACAGATAATCAGTTAATAATGAGAAAAAGCAGAACATATATATGGATACAGATGAATCTATGTGGTGGGGACTAGTGAAAATTGTCTTTTGATTGCTTTAGGTTTTTTTAGTGAAATGAAGCATGAACATCAGCTGGGAATGATTATGAGGGAAGACATTTGAGAAGTGAGGAGAAGATAGGAATTGTCATGTAGGAGAATAAAGAAATGAAATAAAGCATTTACAGTTTTTTGAGCTAAAACATCATGCATTTAAAGTGATTATGAATTTAAAGGTCAGCAGGGTTGCATGATTTCCTTCAGCCATGTTTAGCACCATGGGAAAGGGTTGGAGGTAGAAAATATTTAATTATGGTTATGTTTCAGCCAAGTAAGTTCAATGCAGCCAAAGCAAGTAGGAGAGTTAAGGAAATATATAAGGGAGTGATTTTAATAATTGACCATGGACAGAATATATTAGACTTAGTCTTGAAAATATGGGCACAGGGACATCCAGGGACTGGATATAGGACATCCAGTTGGCAGTTTCTGGTAGTTAGTGGTAAGTACTGTCCTGGGACCTAGTCAGAGTTGGAGAAAAGGATTACGTAAAGTTAATAGTGTGTTGAAGCCTAGAATGAGTGTTCTAGCATTAGAAGACTGAAAGATGAAAGAGGCAAGGTCCTGATGGACACCAGCATTTAAAGGGTCAGTACTAAGAAGAGCCAGTCAAAACAAAACTCTGGGCTCAGAGTAATATTTTCTCTCTGCTTAAGAGGTTTCAGATCCCTAACAAGGTATTCTTTTTGCTTTCGTCCCAGCTCATAATAATAAAACAAAATAGAGATCTATATTAAATAGATCTGACTGTGTATATTGAAATATACATAGAGATATACACTATACACACTAAGTGTATAGTATAATATGTCTCATATTATGTGTATAGATTAAACTAAAGATTAATTTAGATTAAATTAATCCCCATACCTGTTCTTCTATTCTTGTGCAAAACATCCCTCTTCTATAGACTGTATCTTATGTATGCTTTAATTAATGATTGATAATAACAGATTTTCACATTGCAAGCAAATTATAGTAGAGAAATATACAGTGAAAGGCTTAGTTTAGGTCCTGTTCATATTAGAGAATGAAATATTTAGAGAAAATATTTCTAAATTATGATTTCAATTCTACATTTAAATTTGCCTCTAAGAGTTAAAAATAGTGTATTATATATCATGTTTTATCATTTGGAATATTTAATAATTTAGAAGTATTTAAAAGTTCTTTGAAAATGCAGTATATTGAATCAGTATAAATGATAGTGATTCAAAATAGTCTTTTCTCTCTGAAGTTCTCAGTATTTCTCATGATATAGTCATTTTAAATAACTGCATTATTGGAGTTGATTATAGGTTGAAGAAAGCTTAAATGATATGTGGTTAGGAATGATAAAGTGAATTAGGTATGTTAGATATGTTTCTGTGACTAAGTTCAGAACCAAGTACTGGTATGTAATATGAAGTCAGGACTAGATTTAATAGAAACATAATGGTCAAGGGAGTTCCTTTGATTTAAGGAAATAAAAGTTGTAATTTAACAGTAGGACACAGTAGTTCAATATTCTAAGCTTGTCTGAAAGAAAAAATCAATCTACCTCTTTTTAACATACTGTTTCCAATTTTAATTGTACTGCAGATTCAACTGTTCTATAAGTTGACATTAGAAGCAAGCAAGTCTCAGGGAAACAGTTTATTTCATTAGTGAAATTTGTCTTAAGTGGTATAAAGTAGCACAAGGTTTAATTCTATAATCTTATTTGGTTCACGCATATGGTTATATAACTCTCCCCTTTACATTGTTATTTAAGAAAATTTTAGAAACGCGATTGAAACAGTAGAGCAGTATACTTCTTTTCTGTTTTGATTCCATAGTGCTATAGTGAAGGATATAAAACATCTTCCAATAGTCAATACTGTTTTCTTTAACAATCCACTTATTTTTTAAAAGCATAAATTCTGATGCATATTTTTAAAGGCTTTATTTATTTATTTTTAGAGAAGGGAAAGGAGGGGAAAAGAGAAGGAGAGAAACATCAGTGTGTGGTTGCCTCTTGAGTGTGCCCCACTGAGGACCCAGCCGGCAACCCAGGCATGTGCCCTGACTGGGAACCAAACTGGTGACCCTTTGGTTTGCAAGCCAGTTCTCAAGCCACTGAGCCACACCAGCCAGGGCTGATATATATATTTTTAAATAACTTCATGCTATCTTTGCAAAGTACAGGGTAGGGTGAAAGCAGGTTTATAGTTGTGAGCATGTGAAACAGTTTATTCTTACATTATTATTTATTATTGTATTATTTTCCATGCAAACAACTGTAAACCTACTTTTGTCACACTCCATATTTCTAAAGTATGCTCTTTTTAAAAAATCCTCACCCAAGGACATGTTTATTGAATTTAGAGAGAAGAGAGGAGAGGGAAGGAGAATGGAGGGGAGGTGAGGAGAGAAACACTGGTGTGAGAAAGAAGCAGATCAATTGCCTTCTATATGCACCCTGACTGGGTGTTGAACTCGCAAGCTTTTCCTGTATGGGTGACACTTCAGCCAAATGAGCTAGCTGGCCAGGACTCTAAATTCTATTCTTGATAAGAAAATGTGGAAAACCATACTTTGGGGATTCTTTTCCATGATGAAATTTCACAAGGTGCAACATTTTCTTGAATATTTAACATATAAACTAATCAATTTTCTAGAAACAAATGCCATACTATACCCACAATTATACTCTTATGGATTCTCTGTCTAATAAATACAGGAAGAGGAGGGTGAGTGCTGGACTTGGGAAGTCCCACAACCATGGTCTTGCTTTTACTGAAATGGTGGAGAAAGCCAGAGCTGAAAAAAAGATGTCGGCTGTTCTTCAAACTACTTTTTCTCTTGTATACAGGTTGAGCAGTCATACATGTTAGAATGATCATTGAAAACAGAAAGTAGTACTTGTACAAAACTATTACAATTGTAAAGAAATCTTAAACATACTAAAGACAAAACAATTTGCCTTCAGACATACAGATAAAAATTATTTTACTTGAATAAAACTTTACTATTAGCTGCTACATCTATATGTAATAATACGTTTTCTTAGTGTATTAATGTTTTCATAGTATTAATTTGATTTTCTTAAAGCAGCATCTATGTGCTTCTGTTGGAAAATACCAAAAATTTTTTCCAAGTCATATAAATAGATAGGTACCTGAACAAAAATTAGTAATGTTAGAAAACAACACAAGAAAATTACCTCTCAAATAAAAAATTCTTGATGGGGTGTTAACAGTGAATATAGTTTTTATATTTTTTGCTTCCTTACACATTCATATTTTTATTACTTTATTCAATAAATAACAATTGAGTGCCTGGTTGAACTGTGAAAAAATACAGAAATAATTTAGCATCTCAGAGATACACTATAAGCAACAATAACTAAAGAAATTGTTCAACTATAAGTGCTACAGGGAAAAAAGAAATAGGAAAAGGGAAATGGGGATTGTGTTGGCTGAGGGTTGAAGCAAGCTTTATTACTTCTTGAGAAAATCAGACTAGGCCTTACTGATATAATAAAAGAAGTTAAAGTAATTAACATGATTAATGTTTTTCTTCTTATAGCTGGAACAGTCAGATGATTTCAGTTCGTGAAGCCAAAGCCATTCCTAGGCCTGATGGTATTGAATGGAGAAATAAATACATCTGTGTAGAAGGTAGCTTTTCCACAGTTACTCTCTATCATTTCGTTATTACCAAGGTTTTGAGGGAATTACTTGAATGATCCAATCCTTTATTATTATAAAGTAATAAATGTATGTTCTGAAGAGATTTTACAAATCTTTTAGTTACAAGATTTTAATTTAATTTTTTATTTTTTAACTTTATTTTTATTGTTTACACTATTATAGATGGCCCCATTTCCCTACTTCTTTGCCCACCTCCAAAATAATTTTAAATTCTTTATTTGTAGGAAATATCAACATGAATTTAGTTAGGTGTCTAGTGTTTCCAGTTGGTAAGATTTGAGCAGTCTTTATGCATTCCTCCTGCTTATAGCTGACAGAAACTTAATTTCATGACTTACGGGTAGAAGAGAATACTATCTTCATGTGGTGATTCTTTTTTTTTTTTCTTTAAGATTTTACTTATTTTTAGAGAGAGGGAAAGGGAAGGAAAAAGAAAGGGAGAGAAACGTGTGAGAGAAACATGGATCTGTTGCTTTTCACACCCCCCAACTGAGGACCTGGCCGACAACCCAGGCATGTGCCCTGACCAGGAATTGAATCCGTGACCTTTCAGTTTGCAGGCTGGTGGTACTCGGTGCAATGAGCCATACCAGGCAGGGTGTGATGATTCTTATATTGAAATAAAATCAGTTATTTTGTACTTAAAATACTGATACTTAATGCAAGCTAGATTTTTATGAATAGAAATTGATTTTACTTTAAAAATTAAATGCTCTGAGATATTCTTTTATCTAAAATTAATATATATTTGAATATTTACATAGTTTTTAATTTTCCTCATTTGAATTCTTTCTACCTTATTAGACAGTCCATAGCTATATGAAAGTATTTTTAATATATATAAATCTAGTAAGATATTTGGCTGAACCATATGCAATTGCTATTTTCTAGGTCAAAAACTGTCAAATATTGACAGTTTCATATAGTTAAATTAAAAAACCGAAGCTCCCATTTTAATAATTTTTGTTTATATGTGCATTTAACATTGCAGAACCTTTTGATGGAACAAATACAGCCAGAGCTGTACATGAAAAGCAGAAATTTGACATGATAAAGGATCAATTTTTGAAGGTAAATAGTGCATCAGATTAAGACAGAATAGCTCTGGTTTTTGTGTTGTGAAGCCAGTAATATGACACAACAGGGAATTTATTACTTGAATTTAGGTATACTTTCCCTTCAGAGATCTGGCTCTGTTTTCTTTCACATGGCTTTCACTTTACTGGAAATAAGCATTCCCATAGAGACTTACTAAACTCTCAAAATAAATGACTAAAGCCTGTTGGACGTCCTTGCCTCCTAAAATATTGGGGAACTTATTGTGGCTTTAAAAGAAAGCTGATGTCGGTCATATATACATACACACACATATGTATGTCTTTCTATACATACATGTACATATATACCGTATTTATTTCTTAGCTCTTTAGTCTACATTAGTCTTCATTATGAATTTGTTCATCAATAATATTGGATCTGGTTTCTGTCTTCAAGAAACTACACATTGCAATGTAGAAACACTGATAGAAATATATACTATGGGACACGCAAGAGAAATGCTTCATAGATGAAAAGGATCAACGAACCGTGAAAATTATTTTAGAGCAGGGTGTCAAACTCATTTTCCCTGGGGGGCCATATCAGCCTTGTGGTTGCCTTTAAAGGGCCAAATGTAATTTTAGGGCTGTATAAATGTACCTACTCCTTAACAGTTAAGCAGGAGCTCAGGCACTGCCGCCGGGTAGAAACAAGGTGGAGGGCCAGATTTGGCGGGCAGGCCTTGTGTTTTCCTCCTGTGTTTTAGAGGCATACTTTTTCTTTATCAAGACATACAAGTGGATTTTATTTGATGATAATTAAAAATGCAGGTATATCGTATTACAGGATGTTCTTCAAATTAGGCCCCCTCAAATAGGAAAATTTAAATGAATAGAATTCTGCAGGACAAAACAAATAAATATTCATGAGGGAATACTTTTGTGTGTCAGATTAAACTGAGAACTCAAGAATAGCATTCCTTACATTGCTGCTCTTGTTTATGGGTAAGCTTCTTTCATTTCCTTTCTTTCTTTTTTTATTCTCAACCAATTCTACTTACTTGTCTTTTCTAGAGGCATATAAAAAGTTTTATTACAGATTTACTGTCTCCTTTATAAATACTATTTTTGATTGAAAAAGCTTATTGGATGCCAAATAGTAAGATAATTGAAGTAATATTCCCTTGTTCTCGCAAACCCAGAGGTTTTGTTTTAATTACCTTGTACCTTGCTGTTTTAGATGAAATTACTTAAATTTGTGAATAAATGTTAATATTGTCCATTGGGACTTTTTGTACCACCTATACATCCATTTCTTTATTAATGAATTGAAATCATCCATACAGGTGTAGAGTTTTAAAATAATATTTTCTTTTCTGATGACAGAAATAATATTCATATTAAATACTTGGGAAATAAAAACAAACAAGAAAAAAATCACCCCAAATTTTACAACCTAGAGAGAACTATTAACATTTTAGTAACTTTCCTTTCAGTCTTTGTTCTGCATATATTTTAGGTTTTAAGAATAATTTTTCTTTCTCTCACAGTCATGGCACAGATTGAAAAACAAAAAAGATTTGAACAGTATACTACCTTTAAGAGCTGCTGTCCTGAAGAGATGACTGGCCTCTATTTCTTAATAAATTCTTCTGAGAAATCAAGAACAGTAGTAACATCATAAAGCATTTTGTTTACCTCCACCATAGTTTCTTTTCATTGTTTGTCTTCATGTTTTATTTTTAAGAGGACATACTTATATAAAGACTGCTTATTTTATTATGATATTTCCTAATAAAACCCTTTGATTTAAAGATGTATTTTTGAAAATGTTTACATTGATGATTAGTAATATTATGGCATGGATTTTCAGGCAATCAGATAAAATATATTTTGGGGAATTATCTGAACAAATAAAAGGTTTTGATATAACTTCAATTCATTGTACCACAGGCTAATACTGAAGAGATTTGTGGGATTTGGGGAAGTGTAATCTACAGTAGATGGTTTGTTGCCTGTCTGTTATAGTAAAGTGAAGATTCAAGTCAGTTACTCAGTTACTTGAAGCAAAACGAAATCTTGTATTTCAATGAAATCGCTGCAGAAGCATGAAATACTGGACAATTGCCTTAAGTCTTCACTTGACTCACCAGAATAGAGGCTTTGGGTGTGTCTGTATTAGCATTTCATTAGTACCTCACATGCTTTTGATGTACTTTTGAGATTGCTTTAAATTTTTTGTAACAAAAGTACCTTTTGCACTGTAGTAATATAATTGCTAACTCTGTATTATACAGCAGTTAGTTAATTGTATTAAAAAATTAGTTCAGTGTAGACATTTTGAAAAGATTAAGTCTCCTGTGCTTTATGGTAGCTTAGTGCAATAAGCGCTTTAGCTTTACTTCCCATTTTTGTGCTTTTATTTTCCCTGTGACATGAAGCAACGGAAAGTTAAAGATCAAAGTGGAGATTATATCCTGTTGAGTGTATCAGATTTTGTCTGCGTACAAAATTATAGGATTGTAATCTAAACTGGAAGTTTTAGGCAGTAAGCCTCTATAAAATGGTTTAAAGTAAGACATAAAGTTATTATAAATAAAAGCTTAATGTTTGTAAAGATATCTTTTTTAGTGTTTCTTTTCCACATGAAGAATGGTGGCTGCTGAAAAAAGCTACAGTGTTTATTAAGGTTGTTTAGGGGTTATGTAAATATTTGTAAATTGGTCAGGGATTGTACATTTAAATAAGAAAAGTAATCTTGGAAACAGTTTTAACTTTTCAAAAGGACTCTATCCAACTTCTTTTAGACCTGCTGTAGCACAGTTTGTACCTCTAATGTCTGGGGGCGGGGGGCGGGTGGTGCAGACCAGTTCAAATGCTAAGACTTGCTTTTCTTTGACTTGTAAAAGGTGCATATTTTTATTTTCTTCCTTAAGTTTAAAGTTTTGTATTATGTCAAATGGAATAAAGTTTATATATGGAAATTGTTTATGTGGTTTTTTTGTGTGTTTGTGTATGTGCGTCAAAGTCTTCTCTTTTGAGGTTATTTTGCTTGATTATTTAGATTATACAGAGGAAAGTCGTGGACCCAGGTCCGTTCATTGTTAAGCCAGCGAACCACATCAACACCCTGTTTCTCCAGCATTATCGGGAATGAAGCTTTCTAGATAGGTGAATATTTTTAGATTACTGGTGGTTAAGACTTTTGAAACAATTAAGCTTTATATATTCCTTTTCTTGGAACTTTTCCTAAAGTGTGTTATACACTGTGCAACTCCTCTTTATCAGAATGTTCTGAGTGTAATTAGTATACTAGTAATGACTCGGGGTAATCATTAGAAATGATAAGCACTGGTCACAGTATTATGTAGTGATTCTGTGCAGCTCTCAGGAACGGGTAGGTATGTGGGGCACTCCACCTCTACAGTATTAGGACATTTCCAAGTAGAGACCTTCCCCGCCTCCACCCAGTTTACCATGGCGTGGGCTCCTTCGTTGCCACTTTTCTCTCATCTTTCAAAGGACCCATACTCCCACCTCCACAAAGCTCATTTTATTTTTGCTGCTTTTTAACTGTTTTGCTGAAAAATAGATCAAAGTTAATAAACTTACATGCAATTCAAAATCAGTAAACTTAAGCCTTAGATTACAATGCCTTGTGACAGCCAAATATGTCAGATAAATGGACTATTAATATGAGAGTTCTTTGGCCTTTAAAATTATTTTCAGTATGAATTACTTATTCAGTCATGTGACTAATACATTTTCTGTTTATATTGATCTGCCCATGTCTGTATATTTTCATGTTACTCAAGAGTAATATTAGCAAATTAAAGACATGCAGTCTGTACTGCATTAGTAAATTTTATATTGCTGTGAACTAGGATCTTTGCGAAGAAATTTTGAGTTAAATGAAAGGAAGGTACAGTGGATACCTGTAGTTTTGATTAGCATTTTAACAGATTCCCTTAGCTGCTATTTAACTCTTTTTGTCCTAGGTGAACGGTCATTTGGGATTACTAATGGAAAAGTCTTGCTTATGTTAAGAGAATGAAGGTTGCTGCTGTTCAGCCTGGTTTAGTGAAGCCTGGGCTCTGCTCTCTTCTCATGCACACTAGCTGATGCTTCCTGCTATATCTGCACTGTCTGCAGTTCTTTGCTTACAGGCCTATTGCATGCATACAAGCCAGTGTAACTGGTGAATACTACCTAACTTACGTTCATCGTACTTAACAGTTCTGTGACTAGAGTTTGCTGTAATTAAAAATAAAAGCTGTTCTAGCCGCACAATCATCCTCATGAAAATAATATCTTTATGTGTTGTAAAGCTATCTCTATCTGTTATACATCCTCAATAGGTTTGTTTGGTCCTGTTCTCTTAGTTCACAGAACATTTATTAAGTGCCTACTATATGCTATGTACTTTGTTAGCTTCTAGGCTTGTAAGAGATGGGGATGATGGGACAAAGGTAAGTAACAAATTTACAAAGTCTACTAAGGGAAAGAAACATTTGAACATAGGATTGTAGGGTTTGAAGCATGGACTTCACATGGTCCCACTAAAGGCCTAGGGATCTTTGGGCAGAGAGTCAAACAAAGCCTTTAGCCAATGTGGCAAAATTACTTCTTAATGTTTGAGATCGATGGAGATAAAAGTGTCCTGGCTGAACAGACCAGAGGCTACTGAGGAAGCATATATACACTTTACTGGTTTGCAAACATAAAGACGGCCAATGCTGCACAATAGGTCAAAGCTGGGCCTCTAAACTGGACAATTCGCTTTGTTTCCTGTTGGGTCACTTTATCAGCCCCGAGACCATGAGCAAGTTAGCTAGTTACCCGAGCTCTTCTGAGCCTCCGTTTTTTCTAGAACACCAGCATTGCAATTATACCTCTACCTGAGCAGAATTGTGAGGGGATCCGAGAAGTGAGACCATTGGTGAGTGCCTGAACTAGTAAGTCCTGTGCTCAGTAAGAGTAGTTGGTTGGGATGAAGGGTTCACCACGCAGCTTGGCTGGAAACAGCCTACCAAACCCACTCTAGAGGAGAGAGCTGGGGCTGGGCGCCTCCCCTCGCGAGGAGGAGCCGTGAGTGGTCTTAAGTCGTCCCAAGGGTCCGCCAGGGATCCGCCTGAGCTGGGGTGGGGAGGGCTCTGGGGAAGTTGGCAGAGGCGCGGGGAATAGGAGAAGCTGAGTCCGGGCCCCAGAAGCTCCCTGGCGAAACTTTATGACACCTTCTATTTAAAGTCGCGGGGCTCGCCCGCCCCCAGGCCGGGAACCCGAGCCGCCGCGCCCGGGCCAGAGGTGCAGTCAGAGGGAGAACACCAGGCACGGCGCGGGCGGCTCCGGCTCCGGTCTGGCCCGGGAAAGGCGCGATGGCGAGTAGCGACAGCAACCACGCCGCCGAGAGCTCTCTCGGCTCCAACGGGGACGATGAGGCGACTCGAGCACTGGAGACCGAGGAGGAGTCCGAGGGCGAGGAGGACGAGTCGGCTGCAGAGTCGGCTGCGGAGTCGGAGTCGGAGTCGGAGTCGGAGCCGGAGGCCAGGTAGCGAGCACGCCTCTCAGGCTGGCGGCCCCGGCCAGGGCAGGTGCTTCGCGGGGCAACTCCGCAGCCTTGGTTTTTCTGTTCTCGAGTTCATCCCCTCTAGCTAAGTACTTTCTCTCTGGGGGCGCCGCCTTAAGAACTTAAAGGTGAAGGTGCCTGCTGTCAACTGGAGTGACAGGTCCGCCTGCAGCAGCAGTAAAGTTCATCCCTCCCGCCCCCGCTCCTCCTTCGTTACCCCCTCCCATCGCGGCCCAGCTCCGTCTTGCTGCTCTTGTTTGTTTATTCCTGGGAGTTTGTTTGGGGTCATGTTCAACTGCAGAACGTGCAGAAACTCTGACTTGTGGCCCAAGGTATAGGAATACTCTTGAAAGCCTGACCTGGAGAGGGGGCGTGGGTGGGGTTGCAGAGGCTGCTCTGGAATCTTCAAATGACTGGAGGTCTCTTGGTTGGTTGGCTAGTTCTTGGCTAGGTTGCTGCAAGGGGACTTTATTTTGGTACAAAGGCCCATAAACTCTTTGGAGAAAAGAAGCATGAGTTTTAGTAACCCTTGTTCTAAAAATCCTGCCTTTTTTTTTTATGGTTTTCCTTCTGTTTGAATCTTCCTCTTGCCTCCCTTCATGGAGGCCCTAAAGTGAGATTAGGAGGAACCATCTCCTCTATTTAGATTGGTTTCTACTTTTCCTTTTCTCTTTGTGTATGGGTTTTGTTGTTTGAGTATGGGTATTTTTTTTTTGTTTTGTCTGTGAGTGATGTCCCTTCCCATTTCTAATAATATCAACAGAAAGGCCTACTTTGTAGGTGACAGATGTGTGTGCAGCAGTTCAGAATGCACATCTTACCCAAAGTTAAAAGTGCTGCCTGAACAAAGCCAGCAGAGCTGAAGTTCAAGTAGCCCTAGAGTGGCATTGAAGAGTGAATGGTCAGTCAGATAAGCCTGGAATATTGGTCACATATTTACCAGTCAACTACCAAGTGGGAAGCAGGCACAGTCCCTGTCCTTAAGGACTTAATGGAAGACGTTTGAGAGCAATATGGGAAGTATGATACTTTGTACTAAGTGAGTGGGGGAGGACAGGGGGCTCTGTGGAAGGTCACAAGAGAGTGTGTGCATCTGTGACTGCCTCCAGAAGGGGCATGACCTGGGCGCCTTGCAGAACGGGCAGCAGGTGCAGAACAGAAAAGCAGAGGAGAAAGCACCTGTGGGAAATGGAGCAAGGGAGAGGGGTATTGATCGAGAAGGGAAAATCAGTCAATCCCAGACCTTATAACCGTTTTCTCTTAACAGTGTCTGGGATCCTCCCGTTCTTGCCCAACCTTAATTTACCACCATTCCCCTCTCCCACCTCCCTTCCTCCAGAATCTGAAAACTCTTAACTCTAAAATGTGAGCAGCTGACAGTGATTTAAAGCCCCGCTTCGGAGTTAGTTGCATTGCCCTTTGACAAAGGTCAAAATCTTTAGGTAAAGGTGTGATTTATCTGCACGTAAACAACTTGCTCTGACTACAGGTGGTAAGGTGGACACCAGGGCAAGAGCCAGAATGAGTAGAGTGGAGGGAATCACGAGGACATAGGCAGGTGGTGGTGGAGGCCTCGACAACCGCCACATTTTTTAAAAAAAATGGATTTGATGACATCGATAACAAGAAATCAGTAAACTGAACAGGATTTTGAAGCTCAGACTGGTGTCGTTGGAAAAGGAGACTGAGGGGCATGTTGGAAAGCCGCGTTTGGGAGGGCTCAGATCAGAAACCCAGCGAGAGCGAGCAAGGAGATTCCTAGGGATCCAGCGGCCCAGGGGCAAGGGCGGCAGGGGTGGGAGCTGTGGCTAAAGGCAGGGAGCTGTCAGTGGGGGGCGGGGACCTCTAGGAGAACCAGGAGACCCGAATTTCTCCTACCTCGAAGTGTTGTCAGAAATCCAACCATTTTGTTGTGGGTGAGTTTTCACACACACGTTCTTTTTTCTTCCGAGACTGGAGAGGAGAACTTGGCGCATTCTCTCATCTGTGGGAGATGAGAATGATGTCCTCTCGGCTGTCCCACCAACATTTTACAAATGGGCCTCTTAGGGCCCCTGTGTGCTGTACTGGTCTCAGTGATGTGCTTACAAATGTTTTCTCATTTTAAACACTTTCAGCACACTCTGAGCTGATTGTCCAGTTACGGGCGAGGAAAATGAGGTCTTATGTAATTTACTGAGGGTATAAGACAAATAAATATAAAGAACCAAGGTGTGAGCCTGAGTCTGTTTACTCCAAGCCACTTGGAGACTTTCACTGCCTCCTTCCTTACTGTAGGGAACCTAGAATGACTCCAACTAATTTCTACACTGAAAGATTATCAGAGGACAAGGAAAGACCTTATCTCTTGAATACTAGTGGGAGTCATTTCCCCTACTTGAAAGGAAAAGTTGTCTCTGCGTTTTCTCAGAGGTCAGAACC